GTCAAAGTGGGTCTGGAAGAGAAGAAGAAGATCCAAGACCGACTCTATCTGACGGGCCTTGCTGCCGACGCCACCAAACTTAATGATACGTTAAGTTTTCACTCTGTCAGTCCCGTTTTCTCGTGTGTTCCTAGCTGTCCCCACAAAAATTGTAGAAATAAAACGGGTTTGGTGGCAGCAAGGCGCGGTCAGATGGAGACGGTCTTGGATTATCCCAGGATGTAAATACAGACATCTATATTGCACGCACCGAGGCTCGCACATAATGCTTCTTTAGAACCTGACGTTGAAAGGTTGAACTGGACCATAGAAAAGAGAAGACGCATACCCTCTTCGGGACATCATAAACCAAACTCAGCATTTATTGGCCAGTGTGTGGTTTTACTAGGTCTTTTTTTACATTTGGTAGTTTGCCATTGCTGTCTGAATGGATGACACAATGACCATATCATTGTCATAATAAATGCAAAGGGGTTTGCTTACAAATCGTCTGCAGCTGCCTTCAGAACCCTCGTATTGCAGGATTATGAAATTACATTCACAGTTCCTAAGCCACAGTGTTGAGAAGAACTAAATTGTGTGAACAGTAAACAACTTATCATCATCATCATGTAGCAGGTCCTTATGGGAACGTCGCCAGCTCTCCTGCCTCGTACACTTTCCTGCCCAAGGTGTCACTAATATTCTGTACCCATCTTCGTGTTGGTTGACTCCTTCTTCTTCCTGGTACAGTGCCTGCTTAGATGCTTAGTAAACAGCTACAGGATATTAACTGAGTTCCTCATTCCAACAAGCTGCTATCTAAAAGATTTAGACACCCCAGTGTCCCAGTAAACTGCTTCTTGGATGGAATACCTCAAGACAAATCGCACTTATGATATTCGACCTCCACAGAAGGTATAGTTAGGGCACTCCAGTGCTTACTTCACGTACTTGTCTGGTGTCCTAGGTGGTGGAAGATTTATTCCAACAAGATACTTTTCAAAATTAGAAACTTCACATCCAGTTCTTAGTTAACCTTCTGAGCATTGTATGTAGAGCAACAAGATTGTCCTTCTTGTTCTTGTTCTTTTTTCTTCTTGCTGTTATTGTTTTTTTTTTTCTTCTTCTTCTTCTTCTTCTTCTTCTTCTTCTTCTTCTTCTTCTTCTTCTTCTTCTTCTTCTTCTTCTTCTTCTTCTTCTTCTTCTTCTTCTTTTTCTTTTTTTTTGTCTTCTTCTTCTTCTTCTTCTTCTTCTTCTTCTTCTTCTTCTTCTTCTTTTTCTTCTTCTTCTTCTTCTTCTTCTTCTTCTTTGTCTTCTTTTTCTTCTTCTTTGTCTTCTTTGTCTTCTTCTTCTTCTTTATCTTCTATTCTTCTTCTTCTTCTTTTTCTTCTTCTTCTTCTTCTTCTTCTTCTTTTTCTTTTTTGTCTTCTTCTTCTTCTTCTTCTTCTTCTTCTTCTCTTCTTCTTCTTCTTCTTCTTCTTCTTCTTCTTCTTCTTCTTCTTCTTCTTCTTCTTCTTTATCTTCTATTCTTCTTCTTCTTCTTTTTCTTCTTCTTCTTCTTCTTTTTCTTCTTCTTCTTCTTCTTCTTCTTCTTCTTCTTCTTCTTCTTCTTCTTCTTCTTCTTTTTCTTTTTTGTCTTCTTCTTCTTCTTCTTCTTCTTCTTCTTCTTCTTCTTCTTCTTCTTCTTCTTCTTCTTCTTCTTCTTCTTCTTCTTCTTCTTCTTCTTCTTCTTCTTCTTCTTCTAACAGTAGAGTAATATAACTAGAAAGAATTTACACTGGAAACCACAGAAACATCAGAATAAAGGCAGACTAAACCAACCACGCACGAAAAAAACTTGTGAGTGTAGTTTACAAAATAAGGACATGGGGAGAACGGCATGTGATGGTACATGCGAGAACGACTTGGCGTGAGTTGGTTGAGAGCTTATAATCCCTTGCGGGGGTTGAGTGGGTGAAGACAGAAGACGTTTTTCTTCTGCTAGTGTGATCATTAAGGAGAAAAATGGAAAGCAAAAATTGCACCAGACAAACAACACCAAACTTAATAAAGGCTTATCAAGAAAATAGGGCGACAGTTCTAGCAGTGGCTTCGTTAGCACAAACTAGATACGTTTCAAGGCCTTGCCAATCCAACGTTTGCCTTTCACATGCCTTCGTTTACCTGTCTTCCAGGTAAATGTAAAGTCGGTAGATGTGAACCTGAGTCATTACACACGGTTATTAACCATCAGTGCTCTTCTACCAGTACGGACAGCTGATAAGAAACTGTCCGCCTGTGTCGCCGTCTGGACGCAACTCAGTAGACACAGCGACGTTCCTCCATTTACCCCAGAGTGTCAACTCTGGTACCCATTACCTAGAGGCTGGGTTAACCCCGGAAACTGCCCGGTTTCGAACACCATCCACGGGCTGCAGCGAGTCGCAGCTGGATTTGAAAGCGAGTCTCATATCGACTGGTAGCCCCTTCTCCATTTCCTCCTACTTCTTCTTCTTCTTCTTCTTCTTCTTCTTCTTCTTCTTCTTCTTCTTCTTCTTCTACTACTACTTCTTATTCTTCTTCTTCTGCTGCTGCTGCTGCTGTTGCTGCTTCTCCTCCTCCTCCCCCACCACCACCTCCTCCTCATTCTTCTGCTTCTTGTCTCCCAGTAAAGCTCACCACAGATAACTCAGATCAAATTTGGTCTTTTCCCATCTTTTGCCCCTCTCTCCATGTCCTCGTTAAAAAATTCATTTATGAGTGTATTTAAACGAGAGAAGCAATTCTGTAAGAAGTTGGAAACTAATGCTATAGTTCTATCATAGTTTTATACTCGCGAACCTACACACGTAGAAACGTACATCTCACCAACCTGCTCACATGTTACTGCCAGCTTTCCTCGATTGTATAAACTAAATGATTCATTGCCAGCACACTATATTAGAGTACACACATTACTGTACACCCTTTTCTTTCTGCCACTTGTTTTATTTTTTTAATGGAGAAAAATGGCAAGCAAAAATTGCACCAGACATACAAACATCACCCAACTTCATAAAAGCTTATAAAAAAAATATGGGGACAGTTCTAGCAGTGGCTTTGTTTGCACAAACTAGCTACGTTACAAGGCCGTGCCAGTCCGACGTTTGCTTTCACTAGGCCTTCGTTTGCCCCACCCATTGCTAGTGCAAGAGCGGGTAGACCTGGCTATGGTTGCCTGGAAACTCCCTTTTGCAATTATAACTGATTTGGTTACGTTGGTTACATTAGTAACACCAAATAGTGTCCCTCGTTCCACATTTTTCATGGTTTGACCTTTGGCTAAGTCCCCGCTGTTTTCTTTTTCTCCTTCTCCTCCTCCTCCTCTTTCTTCTTTTACGCCTCCTTATCCTCCTTCTCCTCCTCCTCTTCCTTCTTCTTCTTCTTTTTTTTCTTCTGCTGCTGCTTCTCCTCCTCTACGCCACCGTCTCCTTCTCTTTCTTCTTCTTCCTGTTTCCCAGTAAAACTCATCGCAGACAGCTTATCTCATATTGTATCTTATTCCTTCTTTTACCCTCCAAGACCTCGCCATACAATTCATGCGTGTGTGTGTTCAAACGAGAGAAGCAATACTGTTAGAAGTTGCAAACTAATGCTATAGTTCTACCATAGTTTTCACACCAGCGAATGCGGCGAACCTACTTACACAGGAGCCCGCAACTCACCAACTAGCTTTACCTGTAACTGCCAGCTTTCCTCGATTATATAAAATAGATGATTCAGTGCCAGCAAACGGAGCACACACATTCAGGCACACCCACGTTCATTGTAAAGAATTTGGAAATTTGGATATCTATGAACCTAACTATATTTTACTCGTGTTTGTAAGCAGGCTGTTTATATATTGATAAATTATATGTGGCTGTACACGAGTAATTACCTGATTTTTAAAAAAAACGTATCTATTATAACTGTATGTTTTCTGTTTATTTACTTATATTTTATGGAAGGATGCGTTTCTTCTGGCTATGATACGTACGTGTATATGTGTCTGTGTGTGTGTGTGTTGTGTGTGTGTGTGTGTGTGTGTGGGGCATGCCTTGCATTTATGTGTGTGTGTATGTATGTATGTATGTATGTATGTATGTATGTATGTATGTATGTATGTATGTATGTATGTATGTATGTATGTATGTATGTATGTATGTATGTATGTATGTATGGATGGATGGATGGATGGATGGGTGGGTGGGTGGGTGGGTGGGTGGGTGGGTGTGTGTGTGTGTGTGTATGTATGTATGTATATGTGTGTGTGTGTATGTATGTATGTATGTTTAGTATGTGTGTATTAGATAAGGTAGGTAGGCAGGTAGGCAGGCAGGTAGGTAGGTGTGTGTGTATGTGGGTATGTATGTATGTATGTATGTATGTATGTATGTATGTATGTATGTATGTATGTATGTATGTATGTATGTATGTATGTATGTATGTATGTATGTATGTATGCATGCATGCATGCATGCATGCATGCATGCATGCATGCATGCATGCATGCATGCATGCATGCATGTATGTATGTATGTATGTATGCATGTATGTATGTATGTATGTATGTATGTATGTATGTATGTATGTATGTATGTATGTATGTATGTATGTATGTATGTATGTATGTATGTATGTATGTATGTATGTATGTATGTATGTATGTATGTATGTATGCATGTATGTATTATGTATGTGTGTGTTTGTTTGTTTGTTGTTCGGATGAATGGATGGATGGTCAGGTGCACGTGTGTGTGCGTGTCTGTGTATGTACGTATGTATCTATTAGGCAATGTATATATGTGTTTCTGTATGTAATAAGTGTGCTTGTAGGCTGGGTTTATACATTTACTGTTATAATAATTGTGATGACATGTGTAATTTAAGCACAGTCTTATCATTCAACAACGGAAAAGTTCATTTCTCAATAAAAATCTGACAACTTTCTGCGGCTGTTTACAGCAAACTGTTCGCTGTTACTGGCGGTTGCAATTCCATTGTTTATTTCCACGGTCATGGCTGGTAAAAACCGAAAAGTACCGTAAGTATTTCAGTCAAATAATTGTTTCGTTGTCTAACTCTCATCTGTTTTTATTGAATTTATTCCAAAGTTCAGTTAAATATATGATCATCATTATATTGTGTTTTTATCCAACCTGCATTGAGTCTTTCCCGGGAAGTAAAGGCGACCGACATGAGGCTGACCACATCATCCACCAAGGACTGATAGGTCTATAACATATAGATCTAGGCCTCTCTGCCCAATATGCCAGAAGGCGTGTCAAAGGGTCCTGTACTTGCCTTGTCTTTCTTGTATGTCATTTTTTTTGTGGGTTCTGGGGCCCTGTTATAGGGAAAATATGAATAGACACACGGCCTACCCAAAAGCATGTCGTAAGAGTCGACAAATTGGAAGCTTCCTTCAAAGCCTGGTTTTGGAAGAGAGATTATGTAGCTGTGTACCCAGTCAGCTGTTCTGATGTTCTGGTTGAAATGAAAAGCCATCTCCTTCAAGTCTTCATCACTTATACTCTTCCTTTGGGCATACCTGACTTAGTCTGGCCCCGGCGCAGTGTCTTTTATTTTTTGCAACATATATTTTATATCATCCACCCTAGAGATATCCTGAAAATGGTTATCATTTATTGAATTGGACAGACTAACTCTAACGGAATTTCTAAGTTGCCTTTTATTATGATCAGTTTGGAATATAAACCTCTCCAAAATTGCTGCCCCCTTCTCTTTGTATGTTGTCACTGGCTTATCATTATCAGTGTATATAAGCGCTGTTGTGACAGGCCGATCCTTCATTTGCATCTCTTTGTGAAATTTCCAGAACCCACCATGTTATTTATCTTTCTAGCTTCTCTACATCCTCTTGTAACCTGTGAGGTACCCTTTGCACTTTCTATAATTGCTTAACTGCTGCTCGCTTTGCTCTTCGTGCATGTTCTACTTCTTGGGTCCACCATGGGGGCCGCAGAAAAGCAGAGGAGGTGGTTCTGCTGCATACCTTCTTTCGAAGGCGTTCAAGAAGGGTACTGTCCCTCTCATATTTGAAAGTCCTGCGCGTTCTAACAGCCCTGATCTTGCTAGATTTTAAAACTAAGACTGAGCGTAGCAAATGGTCACTCCTATGATAGCCGAAGATTTCCTCTAACTCTTTGAGCCAGTCCCAGAGTTCCTTTTTAACAAGAGATTCAACAGCAGCTTAAACATTCATCTTACAAATAAGTCAAATATGTAAAACATGTGCGCGAAACACTGAGGTTATAGCACAAGACTACAGACCAGAGGTGGATAAACAGTCAGATCTTTCCGCCAGGGCCTTCAACCAGCGAAAGTGAAGAAGAAGAAGACGACAATGAAGAAGATCACATTATGTAACTATATTTTTTATTATTATAATTAACACAATCTTTATCATCATCATCATCATAATCAATGATGACAAGGACGAAGATAATATTGAATATATTATTAAATAAAAAGTTTCAAGTTTTTAAAATTATTAACATATTCTTCATTATCATCATCATCATCGTCGCTGTGTCGTCATCGTCTTCATCATTGACTCTTAACTGCATCCCATTCACAGGGATCACATTGTGAAGATATTCGACAAATATGTGGCGAACAATGTCAGAGTGCTCAGCAAACAACACGCCATCGACATGCTCAAGGTCAGTGGACTAACCATACATTTTGCACCGGAACCCCCAGGGGTATAGACTTAAAAGCAGACCCCAAAAAAAAAAAAAAAAAAGGAGAAGGGAGATTGAGAGTGAAGTTAAGATGACGGGGAGGACAAGGGTAGAGCTGCATGCAATATAACGACGTGATTTCGTTAAGGCCCTTAGCTCCATTGGGGGATAGAAGAAAAGGAGAAGAAGAAGAAGAAGAAGAAGAAGAAGAAGAAGAAGAAGAAGAAGAAGAAGAAGAAGAAGAAGAAGAAGAAGAAGAAGAGAAGAAGAAGAAGAAGAAGAAGAAGAAGAAGAAGAAGAAGAAGAAGAAGAAGAAGAAGAAGAAGAAGAAAAAGAAGAAAAAGAAGAAGAAGAAGAAGAAGAAGAAGAAGAAGAAGAAGAAGAAGAAGAAGAAAAAGAAGCAGAAGTAGAAGAAGAAGAAGAAGAAGATATGTGTTGACACCTGTCCGTCTTTTTCAGACAATATTATTACGTTTTGATAAGGTAAGGTAAGAGAATGACAGCCTATTGCGATATCGTATGTGATTAGCAAGACCCTCTCGTGTTAATAAAATTCTACCACAATCAGAGCCTGGGATGATACTTCAATTTTAATTCATCTCAAACCTGGTAGTTATATTAAGGGTAGCACGGTTAGGGTTATGGTTAAGCTTAGCGTTTGGGTTGAAGGTTAGGTTTATGGTGATTAGAACACACATAATTTAAAGAAAACGCCGCAAAAACAAACACCTTGATGTCACGGGATGTGTTTGGACTCTCCAAGAAACTCCCGGATTTCCTTTGTTTGGGTTGAATTAAAAATGAAGTAACTCTGAGATTTCAGGATCGTTGTTGCCATCACATCTGCTAAGTGTGCTTTTCCCCCCTCTCAGACGCAGAGCTCTCAGCCAGCCTGTCCGCCGTCACCTTTTCACCCTTTTATTACCAGTGCTTTTTACCCCCCCTCCCCCTTTTACATGAGACAAGGTCCATGGCATTTTGTTCCACCCCCATCAAACCCCCCCCCCCCCCCACCTCCCCCCACTGTTCAATGAGACAAGAGACCAAGTAAGCAAGTAAGTTTTACCCACCAGAACACCACACAAATGGATAAACATCCGGTGACACAAAGTGCAACCATGCAGATGAGGATCACCCGTGGAGAGGTCCGGAAACCCCAGGGTAGGGCTATGTAACGAACAATTGCGTCCAGTAATGGAACGACGAGGAAGTAATAAGACCAAGCGAGATAAGGTATCCAATTTTATAAGAAAGCGCCCTGGAACGACATAGGCTATACTCCCAGAATGGATAAGACCAGACCCCTCCATCAAGCCCGCATATGGGTACCGGAAGAGACAAGAAAACGGAAAGACCAATAGAGACCCTGCGTAGAAACTATCATCAGGGAAGGCTCAACTATGGGCTTTATAAACATCTCAGATCTAAGACAGGTGGCAACAAACCGCCAGACATGGAGAGTTCTGACTTTTGCCCTAGCCCTTCGACCTTAGCTAATAGAGTCCTTGCCCTAGCCACAACCCACCTCCGACCTTAGCTAATAGAGTCCTTGCCCTAGTCACAACCCACCTCCGACCTTAGCTAATAGTCCTTGCCCTAGGCACAACCCACCTCCGACCTTAGCTAATAGAGTCCTTGCCCTAGGCACAACCCACCTCCGACCTCAGCTAATAGAGTCCTTGCCCTAGGCACAACCCACCTCCGACCTCAGCTAATAGAGTCCTTGCCCTAGCCACAACCCACCTCCGACCTTAGCTAATAGAGTCCTTGCCCTAGGCACAACCCACCTCCGACCTCAGCTAATAGAGTCCTTGCCCTAGTCACAACCCACCTCCGACCTCAGCTAATAGAGTCCTTGCCCTAGCCACAACCCACCTCCGACCTTAGCTAATAGAGTCCTTGCCCTAGCCACAACCCACCTCCGACCTTAGCTAATAGAGTCCTTGCCCTAGCCACAACCCACCTCCGACCTTAGCTAATAGAGTCCTTGCCCTAGCCACAACCCACCTCCGACCTTAGCTAATAGAGTCCTTGCCCTAGGCACAACCCACCTCCGACCTCAGCTAATAGAGTCCTTGCCCTAGCCACAACCCACCTCCGACCTCAGCTAATAGAGTCCTTGCCCTAGTCACAACCCACCTCCGACCTCAGCTAATAGAGTCCTTGCCCTAGGCACAACCCACCCCCGACCTCAGCTAATAGAGTCCTTGCCCTAGGCACAACCCACCTCCGACCTCAGCTAATAGAGTCGGACGTGGCGCAACCTTAGGCTCAAGAGTAACGACTAAATAACTAATCCGTCTTGATGGGGATTCGAACCTAAAACATTCGGGCAGACAGGTTAGCGTCTATGCACTATGTTGCTGCGACTTCCTTTAGTGCGAATAAAGGCACCTTAACTCTAATATTACAAACCCATAAACGAACTGAAAATATTGTACAATTAAAGCAAGCTGTATTTTAAAAGATGTATCTGTGGCTTAGGTTTAAGAACGCGCTTCATTATGCCGAAGTGCCGGCTTCGACCCCAGCTGCAGGTGATTGGGAAGCAGACTGCCTTAACGTTAGTTTTCACTGTGGTATCGAGCACTGAGAGTTTAAAGAGAAATGGCAAACTACTGAATGTAAAATTCCCTAGTAAATCCGCAGACCGAAGAAATAAAATATATGTCTGGGTTGGCTCTACAAAGTCTTGTAAAGAATACGTAACTACAAATTTTGTAAAAGAAAAATAATATACTTGTGCAAGCAGCCAAACGAACGGACGACGAGAAGCCACGTATCCAAACTGGCCGCCAAGATAAATGATCTAACCTACAGATAAGGTTTTTAAATAAACCCGGATTTCTGAAGCACGCCAAAGTCTAGATTAAGACTTTAAAAGTAACAGGTGATATATTCTTCTGCAAAAGTGAACTGCTTGAGATAAATGTTTGTGCACACCTTTCATGCAATGCTAGCTGTTTGAGTACTCAGAGGCACGTGAAAACGGATGCACGTGTACCTGCGAGCCAGAAGCCAGCAGGCATCCAAATATTTGGGACGTGTTTATGTGTGTACTGTGTAGAGACAGTCGGTACGAATGTGGGCGCATGCTGTGTGCAAATGGTCAATTATCTTTCTATTTCTGTCTGTGTGTCTGTCCGTCCGTCTCTCTCTCTGTCTGTCTCTCTGTCTGTCTCTCTATCCGCCTGTCTGTCTGTCTATCCCTCCGTCTGTCTGTCTGTGTATCCATGTGTGCATCCGTTCAGTTCACCCATCCGTCCATCTACCTTCAAAGTCCCAGCTTACCAGTCTTTCATTCAGTCTATTTTTCTATCTATCAATAAGTCAGTTTAGCTATTTGTCTATTTGTCTATTATTAAAGCTGTGTAGATATCTTTATGTCTGTCTTCTTCTTCTTCTTCTTTTGTTCGCATGAAATAGATTATCTGAATCTGCAATGTTGTCTCTAGTATGAACTTCACCGTCTTCACTCAGCGACCCGTAAAGTTTGACTTGCATCGATGTTTCTCTTGGCCAAAAGATTTGTCTTGATATGTTGCATGTAGGGCAGCCTTGGAGGACATGTTCTGTTGTCTCAGGTGCCAGTAGTCCACATGTGCAAATGGCTGATCCGCCGATCTTAAATTGTGTGTACATATGGCTGCGAAGTCGATTGTGTCCTGTTCTAAGGCGTAGAATAATAACTTGCTTTGGTCTGTCAATAAAATGGTAATTGTCTTGTGCCAGTTTTGGTGGTTTTCTGATTGATTTGATCATTCTCTTCTTCTGTTGATAAGAGACTGGTACGTCAAGTTGTTCTTCATTTGCACCTTCCTTAGTTAGTTCATCAGCTCTTTAATCTCCATGAACTCCACACTGGGATGGTATTGTATGTCTGTCTATCCATCCATCCATCCATCTACCTGCCTGCCCTTCTGTCTAGGTCGGTCTGTCTACCTGCTTACCTATTTAACTGTCTGCCTGTTTCTCTATCAGTCCATTTTCACCTCTGCACACCACCCCCCCCTCCCCTTTCTCGTCTATTTTCGTAAACTTGAACCCGCACCACACTTGGCAGACTGTTTGTTGACTCCTGAGATGATTACGGTAACAAATGAGCGAATATTGCAAATGAGCAAAGGCTTACAAATGAGCGAACGGTATTACACAAATCCGTGGACATAACCCCGAGTTAACAAACTGTGCATGTTAAGTTACTGCGGGATATCACACAGACATACTTTCCATTCAAGTGTGAATGCACAGGAGATCTGTGAAGCAGGCTTGTAAAATTTTTAAACAGCAATAGAAGGTGGGGTTTAAGCAAATATTAGTGTTAGTAGGGGTATGTAAGGATAGACAATGCGTGGTGTGTGTGTGTGTGCCTGCGAGCGCGCACGTGTGTGTGTGTCCAGACAAAGAAGACAGACAGACAGACAGATAGGTAGACAGACAGACAGACAGACAGACAGACAGACAAAAAGAGCAGAGCTGTGTGCGGGTAGAGTTATATGTGTTCGTATGTGAGGAGGGGTGGCAGAGTGAGAACAAAAAAAGGAGAGAGGTATATTGGGGTTTTATCATGGAAACTAATATCAACCGGGTCAGATTTCTCAGAGCAGAAGGAAAGATGGGAGATGGAGATATTAAAGGAATCTAGAGTTATACACACGTAATTTAAAAAAAAAGGTAAATGCCTAACAGAAAAATATCCAGGTTACCCAAAGCGCTCACGCAGGAACGTCGGACTAAACACATTCTCAGAATAAGCAGGCAAAGATAACACAGGCACACACCATATACACGTTGCGGGAGAAAGACAAGCTTGTCAGTAAAGGAGATAGTACATGATGTATGCGGCATTGTTATGCTGGCACAAGGCAACAGGACAATCTGCCAGTTGGGCAGGTGAAAATGTGTAAGTGAATTGGTGAACTGTATACTCGTATAACGCAACATGGCACACTATTTTGGCAATTAATTTGCTGGTATGTTAAGCTTTCTGTAGTGTTTCCTTTTGTTTGGCTGAGCTGCTTTGGACTTATTATACTTCGGATGCACACACGCACACAAACTCATCACACACTGTTTGTGATATGATTGCCTTCTGTTGTCTTTTGGTTTGTTTTGTCTTGTGTGTAGCGCAGTCGATAGGAGACTGGCTTTTAAATCCAGCTGCGACTTGCTGCAGCCCACGGCCGGTGTTTAAAACCGGGCGATTTCCGGAATTCACCCAGCTTCTGGGTAATGGGTACCAGAGTTAACACCCTGGGGTAAATGGAAGAACGTCGCTGTAGTTTCTTATCAGCCGTCCGTACTGGTGCAGAGCACTTATGATTTAGAACCGCGTGCAACGACGTTGGTTCACATGTCCCGACTTTACCTTTTTTTTTTTTTACTTTTTACTTTTTGCCGCCTTGTATAAACTTCTAGCTAGGACACACTCACACAACATACATAATACACAACACACATTATACACAACACACTTAATACACAACACACATAATACACAACACACATAATACACACAGTGTGTTTGTGATACGTTTGCCGTCATATAAAGGTTTCTAAAATCCTTGGGGTCCTATTAACGTTTCCCGGCTCATCTACACACTTTCTTTGATCTAGGTCATAGGGGTGTCAAGTTGCCAGCCAGTCTGTCCGGCTGTTCATTTCCCAACACACCGGCGTGCCCCGGTGAAAAAAATCCAGACAAAATTGGGTATATCTAGGCTCAGGTTGTGGATAGGGGCGTTTACGTTAGGGTCAGTTCTGGGGTCGTTAAAAGCTGTGTTGTATATAACATGCGACATCGGCACTGATTTAATTGGAGGCAAGACAACGTGACACCCCTCCGACGTAGAACAGTCTGAAAAAGTATGAATGAAAGATCAACCAGTGTGTAGATAGGCGGGCAAAGTGAACAGTACCATCCGATTCAAGAACCGACATCACAGCACTCGGGGCATTCCCATAAGCGCTCCGTCCCCATATTCAGCAGCCAGCGAAGAGTTCCGATACTAATGGTGCCAGCATCATTCTGATTAAACGTTCTTCTTGCCTTTCCTCTGAGCCTCGAGCATCTCCCAGAACCTCTCGTCACCCCCAACTGCATCAATCTCACCAGACTGTGGTGATCCATCTGCTTCTCCGAACTGTACACGTTCTCCCACAAGGCACTAACCACTTCTGCCTTTTCATGTATCAGTATTCCATCAAGTTGTGCAGAGCCAGCCAGTCTTTCTGACTGGTCATTTCCCAACACACCGGCGTGCCCCGGTGAAAAAATCCAGACAATACTCCTCACCCGTGTCCTCCGCAGCGAAGCATGCCACTCTGCACGAAGCATGCCTGTTCTGATCTTCCCCAGCATGCTTTCTGAATCAGTTACAATCACAATGTGTTTGTGTGTGTGTGTGTGTGTGGTGTTCTCTAGGCAGCGGAAAGCTGAAGTGACTGCCTCCACCTCCATTCTTAACCTGTATCATATGCTAGGCTCTCCTGCACCAAACGTCGACCATTAACTTTTGCTACCATTACCATTACTTGGGTAAACTTCAACTTAGGAGACACACAAACAACAGGCATACAACATACATTGTTTTTATGATGCAATTGCCGACATATCAAAGTTTCTACAGTCCTTTATTGCTTAGCTGTATAAGCTTCTTCTTCTTCTTCTTCTTCCTTTACCGGCTGTGAATTCTGGCGTAAGGTCCCTGTAGTTCGTCCATTTGGACTTAAACCTGGAACTAAGTTTTGCGTTTAATTCCGTTTTACAGGCTTATTTGTTTGCCGTTTCCTGCCTCACCGGCAAATGTATTCCGACTTCGAGGGAACTTATGCTTACTAAAAACAATGCCTGATCTGGTTCGTCAAGAGACATGGACAAGCTCGGAAAGATGGGGGGGGGGGGGGGGGTGTGTGCACAAATTGGCATCAGGTCATCAAAGAACAATCAAGCGTAAAAGAAGCAGTGGCAAATACTGAACATAAATTGTATCTACAAAAACCACAACAGCAACAACGTCTGGTAAAGGATACGCAACAACAAAGATCAGTCGTGTCAGATATCTCCCCTTCTTCATCTTAGCGTTCACCAGCTGTAAACTCTGGCGGAAAGTTTCGGTTGTTCTCCACTTTGATCTTGATGCAGAACCTGAGTTTTGCGTGCATATCCGTTTTTTAGATCTTGCTTATTTGTAAGCAGATTGTTAGTTCCTTGCCTCTCGGGCAGATGCACTTCGACTCCCTCACTCTATGTAGTCGACGCTTACGACATGCTTGTTGGGGAGGTAGTAAGTCTATTCTTGTTTTCCCCTTCAATGGGGCCCAAGAACCAAGACGTTTTTTTTTTCCTTTGCTCTCATGTTGACCTAAATTAAAATGGGTACCATATATGGTCAGGGCCGTCTTGTGGCATGAGCCAGCTGGGTATTTGTCCGGGTGCCCTATGAGCATAGGAGCTCCATGCTGATCTCTGTATGTTAAGTGACATACCATAAATAAAAAAAGTACCACTCCCGGAATTCACCCTTGCCTGCTCGCGCGCGGAATCTCATGGCCGTTTCCAAGGCCTGTCCTATGTTCTCGGGGTGTCAGATGTTGCTTGTTTTGAATGTTTTATTTTAATCACATTCACGACAGCAACGCACGTCAAAAAAAAAAAAAAAAATCCGTTGAAACTCACCTGCTGTCGTGCCTTCGGCGCTTCACCAGGCACTACTTCTTCTTTGTACACAGGCGCCTGTGGCGCCTGACCTGTTCACAGGAAAACATATTCTAGCATCAACACTCATTCACGACAGTAGTGAAAACCACACTTGAACAAATATTCTGCTTATCTTTGCCTGACAGGCTGAGTTCGGCTTGGATGACAGTGAGGCGGAGGTGATGTTTAACTCATTTGACAAAGACAAGAACGGAAAACTGAGCATATGGGAGTTTCAACAGTTCTGCATCTGTATGGGGGAACAGTGAGTATCATTATGAGCATTAGTACAAGTATTCAACAACATTAAAAGTCTATGGGTAAGCAGGGGCCAGGAAATTAAAACTTTGACAGCATGCATCTTCCCTGTAGCAACATATGTATGTGAGACGTGGACTCTTTTAACAGTCCTTTAGCTAATACCTCGTCCCCATGTAGGACGCAATTTTTCGATATTTTGATGCCCCACCCCGGCTTTTGCCAGGGGCCGTAATATAACCTAACGGTTATAACAGGCAATTCTTATCCGCATGGTGGCACATCAAGGAAGATTGTCTAATACCCAGCATCTTGTCTCGGAAGCTGAAATGTTTTGGTCATATCAAGTGCCATGATAAACTGGGAACAAAATTAGCAGAAAGCATGGTACCAGGAAGGAGGGTCAGAGGCCGACCAACAAGAAGATGGGCACAGGATATAAATGACTCTAATGTAGGTTTGCCAACATTGTAGACAAAGAGGGAATATCTCAGATTCTGGCTAATGTAAGTATGCCAACATTGTAGACAAAGAGGGAAGATCTCAGATTCTGGCTAATGTAAGTATGCCAACATTGTAGACAAAGAGGGAAGATCTCAGATTCTGGTTAATGTAAGTTTGCCAGCAATGTAGTCAAAGAGGGAAGATCTCAGATTCTGACTTATGTAGGTTTGCCAACAATGTCGACAAAGACGGAAGATTTCAAATGCTGGCGCCTGTAGGTTTGCTAGCAATATTGACAAAGATGGAAGATCCCAGATTCTGGCGTTAGTAGATTTTCCAGCAAGGGAGAAGACAAAGATGGCAGATCCCAGATTCTGGCTAATATAAGTTTGCCAGCAATGTCGACAAAGACGAAAGATACCAGATTCTGGCTTATGTCTTCTTCTTCTTCTTGTGTTCGCTTTCTGATTTACACCGACAGACAGGTTCTTGTGATAAACTTGACTGTTTTTATGAGTTCATTTTTAGTCCCATACAACTTTGTGTACAGTGATGACTCACTGGGCCAGTATTCCCTTCTTAATGGGCTGAACAAGGGACAGTCTTGCAGGACATGTTCTGAAGTCTGCACACATAGCCCACAAGGGCAAAAAGGTGTACTACTTAGACGAAGCCTGTGCATATGCTGGTTAAGTTTGTTATGTCCTGTCCTGAGACGTAAGACAATGACCTGCCCATGCCGGTCAAGTAAGTGGTAGTCATCTCTGGTCAGACTCTGTTCACTTCTAATAGCCTGGATGGCCCTTTTCTTCTCATAGTATGTTACTGCATTCTCTTCCTGGTCACATTCTGCCCCTTTTTTAGCAAGTTTATCTGCGGTTTCGTTTCCTGGTATACCACAGTGGGATGATACCCACTGGAGTACAGTACACTTTTGGGCAGCCACCTTGCCAAGTTCAGATCTCAAGTGAGGGAGTTTGCCACTCTTGAGGGCTTGAAGCACTGAAAGCGCATCTGTGAATATAACCACTTGGTGGCAGTCAGAACTGGTGTTGTGTAACATTTCGGCAGCCTGCTCTAGTGCTACAATCTCTGCTGTGTAGTTGGAACAGAATTTACCAGTGGGTATCCACTTTGTGTGGCGGTGGTTGCCTGAGTATGTAATAAAGACTCCAGCACCCCCATTTTTAACCGCACTGGTTGCTGATCCATCTGTGTAAACATGTATCCATGACTGTTCGGGATAGTTTTCATGAATCATGCTAAGAGCAGCTGTTCGTTTTTGAAGATCATTGGACTCATCTCCAGTTGTGAATCCATTGACTGAAGTCATTATCTTTATTGTATCACTGACTTGCTCCCAAGGTACAGGGTACAGGGTAGGTTTCAGCGGTGTTGTTCTAATAGGTAGATCAGCTTGATACTGTCTTCTAAGTCTTTTCCCCCGATGGACAAAGCTGCTACGTTTGAGACGCCCTAATGCCAGATCATCTAACCTTTTATTCATTGGGTGTGACTGCATACTATTAAACTTCTCCATCTGGATCATAGTTTTAGTGTCTCTTCTATAGGACAGTGTCTGCATTGCAGTTATTTTCTGCATCTTCAGGATTGGTGCAGTTTTCATGGATCCTGTGATGAGTCTAAGAGCTTGATTTTGCACTCTGTCTAACGATTGTAGATGGGAATTAGCAGCTGTTGACCATGCTGTTGCACCAAACTCCAAGTGGGGTCTTATCGCTCCATTATAAACTTTCTTTAGGGTTTTTCCATTCGCTCCCCATCATGTACCTGCCAGTTTTCTAAGTAGGCCTAGTCGTCTCCTGGCCTTCCCTTCTACATTTTCTATATGTTTGCTCCATGTGAGCCTTTTATCAAATGTTACTCCAAGATAAGTGGGGAAGCTTTCTTCCTTTAGCAAGGATGTTCCTAGGTGAATACTAGCAGCTTTGTCCCTGGGGGAAAGAGAGAAAAGCGTTGTGGATGTTTTGTCTGTGTTGATATTATCAAGAGATCTGCTGCTCGCTGCATTCTTATATTTGCCACTGTGGTGTGTTCATCGGTACACCAGAGTGCCAGATCATTTGCATACAGGGCAGCTTTTACTCCTGTAGGGAGGTCTTTCATCAGATCATTTATATACACAAGAGAGATGGAGAGATAACTCCTCCCTGTGGTACTCCTTGCCGAAGTAACACTTTTCTACTCTGCTGGCCATCAAGACTGACTCTAGTTCTCCTGCTGTGTAAGAAGGATTGGATCAATTTTAGCATGTTTCCTTGGATTCCATTTCTCTTCAGTTTTGCAATGAGACCATCTTTCCAGACTTTGTCAAAAGCTTGTTTGAAGTCAACCCATACCGCCAGGACCTTTTTCTTCTCTTGGAAGGCATCCTCTACAGCTTGTGACAGGTAGGTGACTTGGTCTTCTATGCTGTGACATTCCCTAAACCCAGCCTGCTCTGGCACCAAGATCTGCTCAGATTCTAAGTGCCATTTCAGTCTTGAATTTACAATTCTTTCCAATGTCTTTCCTACACAGCTTGTGAGACTAATTGGGCGATAGCTCGAAGCCTGTGTCTTAATTGTTTCTTTTTTTAAAATGGGTATTGTGATGGCTTCTCTCCATAATTGAGGCACCAAACCATTCTCCTAGCTGATGTTGAAAATTTCCAGCAGCTTTACTTTAGCAGATGAGGTCAGGTTGATTAGCATTTCGTTGCTGATTTCATCTGGACCTGCAGACTTTTTTAACTTAAGCCTAAAGATGGCATTTTGTAGTTCGCCCATGGTAAATGGCTCCCTCATAGAGGCAGGAGTATTTGTCTGTCTCTTATTTGTTTGTATTTCTTTCCTTATTTCTCTCTGATGGTCCTCATTAAGGGTCAGGTTGCTTTCAACACTGTATGTTCTGGCAAACAAATCTGCAGCTTGTTTTCCTCTGAAGATTTTGTCACCATCACTTAGCGTGATTGTTTGTCTAGGAGAGAAACTCTCTTCATTGAGTGATTTGGCTAATCTCCAGAGTTTCTTGCCATCTTTTTCAAGATTTAGAGCTGCTGTTTTATTTCTCCAGCTTTTCCGTTTTTCTTCAAGTTTAGTTCTCTGGAACACTGCTACAGCCTTTTTCCATTTGATGTGGTTGTCAGGTGAAGGTTGGGATTCTGCATCCTTTCTAGCCTGATTCATTGTTTCCTGGCATTCCTGGAGTGTGCTGGACCAGTACGGTCTATAGTTGTGTCGACAGCCTCTAGGGATTGCTTCTTTTGCAGCTTGTAGAATACTTCTATTGAAATCATGCACTATAGCATTGATATCCCTATTTTGTACTTTGAGAGCAGACAACAGTGTGCTTGTCCTGTGTCTGTACAGGCCTCAGTTGGCTTTCTTGTAGTTCCATCTTGTGATGACTGGGCCTGTATTAACTGGTACATTCTGGACAGTGAGAAAAATCGGGCGATGGTCACTGCCTCCCAGCTGGTCTCCCACCTCTCTACTTATCATTCCAGATATATCTGGGGTAGAGAAGGCAAGATCTGGGGTTGACGTCTGCCACCTTCTGGAGTAGAAGGTAGGAGTATCTGAGGGGGCATTGATCAGGATCAGAGAGTGGTCATCTTGCCATGTTTCCACCTCTTCACCCCTGTTGTCGAGATGGTTATAGCCCCAGCTCTGTGAATGACTGTTGAAGTCTCCAACTGCAATAAAGTTGGTATTTGGTACTGGCACAGAGCTGAGGTTTAGCGATTTGTCATTGGGACAGTAGTAATTAAGGAGGTCTAATTCCACTTTGTCTGTCTTAAGCTGCAGGAGTTGGTACTCAGCTCCATCCATATAAGACATTTTCTCACATGGATGGATACTGTTTTTCACAAGGGTGAGTACTCCTTCTTTTCGCCTGCCTTGTCTGTCAGATCTGAAGCACTGGTAGCCTCTCACTTTAAATATCTGATCTGCCTGCAAATGGGTCTCTTGGATGCAGCATACACTGACATGCTTTTCATAGAGGATGTTTTCCAGCTCCAACTTTTTGCTGTAGCCAGCCTGCTTACTGCTGACCCCCTCTGCATTCCAGTGCATTATGACAAAAGGCAATATGGGATCTTTTTTGTCTAACTGGTTTTGGTCAGTAGCTATCCTCCGCCGTCTCCTGACTCCAGAAGACGGTCTAGGAGGTCCTCCAGTAGCTGCGGGTGGATTCTGTCGAGGCTCAGAACCCGGCACTGCACCTGCCTGGTGGAGCTCTACAGGGCGAGCACCAACATTAAATTTGTCTGACGGTGTAATCATATATATGGCGTGGGATTGCGTAGTACTGTGGTTTTTGATCCGCCTTCTGGCCCAGTATTTCCGACTTCAGGATCTCTTGAGAGGGAGAGTAGGCTCATCCCTTCGCCTTTACCTCGTTTGTTGTCCCATCCAGTTTCCCGCTGGGGGTTGAGACCCCAACCTTCAACTGGATTGCTGGGAAGAACAGGGTCCACCACGTGAAGGTGAGGTAGGCTTGAGCAAGAGAGGCTAATAGACATTAAGAGTCTTGTATTGCGCATCATTGCTCCATTTGGACCCCTGGCTTATGTAGGTTTGACAACAATGTCGACAAAGACGGAAGATCCTAGATTCTGGCACCTACAGGTTTTCCAGCAATGTCGACAAAGACGGAAGATCCGAGATTCTGGCGCCTGTAGGTTTGCCAGAAATGTCGACAAAGATGGAAGATCCCAGATTCTGGTGCCTGTAGGTTTGCCAGCAATGTCAACAAAGACAGAAGATCCCGGATTCTGGCTAATATAGATTTTCCAGCAATGTAGAAGACAAAGATGGAAGATCCCAGATTCTGGCTAATAGAGGTGTGCCAACAATGTAGAAAAAGATTAAAGATCCGAGATTCTGGCTAATATAAGTTTGCCAGCAATGTCGACAAAGACAAAAGATCCCAGGTTCTGGCACCTGTGACAGGTAGGTTTGTCAGCAATGTTGTTCCACCAGCATTTCCAAAGGGGGAGCTTTTGGTTATAATTGTGACAAAGTTTTTTGCACAATATAAAATGGCTTAACATTGCTCGCCACCAAGTAGCCATGAAAAGGACTCTTGCGGTGTTGATGCGATCAAAGGAATTAGACCCAAATACTATCCCGACTGATGACGAAGTCGTCTACTGGCCAGCCAATGGACAACCCGGTCCCTGATGTCAAATAAGAATAATAAGACAACAGGAGTTTTTAGACGAACGATGGAAAGTGAGCTGAGTGCGGCATCTTTGACATGGAAAACTGCACTGAAGATTGTACAGGACAGGAAAGCATGGAAAGTCCTCTCTGAAGCCTCATGTGCCACTAGGCATAATGAGAACTGATGATGATGATGAATAAGAAATTAAACCTGATACAGACATTAATAGTAAATTATGACTTGAAAAAAAAAGCTGTGATGTTTTTGTGAATTTAAGGACACAGTGAACAACAAAAAGAAGAACACTACAGTTTTACTATAGCTACTAACACGACCACCATCACATCAACTACTGTTGCTGCTGCTAGTACAACTATTGCTGAGGTTAAACTACTGGCATCTCTTCTGAAATATCTTTTTTATCCAGCATACCTCAATCTAGTCCCTAAAATCTTCCTGTATACAGCATAAACAACATAATATTCTCTATCTCCATTTATCCAGCACAACTACTACTGTTGCTGCTATTACTATTGCTGCTTCCACTACTGCTGTTGCTGATACCGCTGCTGCTGCTACTACTACTGCTACTACTACTATTATTATTATTATTATTATAATTATTATTATAGTACTGCAACAGCCAAAACAAACTGTTTAACTTGTCCTGACAGTGCTCAAGAAATTGTCACCAAATTCAAAGAACTGGACAAAGATGGGAGTGGCCAGTTAGACCCGGAAGAAGCCAGAGCTGGCCTACATGAACTGAAGACCGCTACTGGCCGCCTACTGACCGACAAGGAAGTGGATTTCTTCATTCAGACAGCGGGAGGCGATGGAGTTATAGACCTTGGCCACTTCACAAACTTACTTTACAGACTGAAACTGTACAATGCGGAGCCACCAAAGTAGTACCAGATTTTAAACGGTGCATGTGATTTTACTTTACAGATGTTTAATAGTTCAAAATAAAATACTCTACGAATTCCTGCTGCAAACATCTTTTTTTTTAATGCTCATTTTTGAGGAGTCATCTTCTTCTTCTTCTTCGCGTTCACTGGCTGTAAATTCTGATGGAAAGTTGGGGTTGTTTGTCTACCTCTGGACTCCAGTCCTGTTGCATAAAATGTTATGTGCACATTGGTTTTATAAATCTCACTTATATACAGATTGCTGGTTCCTTGCCTCTCTTGCAGATGCACTCCATCTTCGAAGAAAATCCCTAGTATATTGACTCTTACGACATGCTTGTTTGGGAGGCGGAGATTCTATTCTTGTTTTCCCACCCTACATTGGGGCCCCAGAATCCACTCGGAGATTTTGAGGAGTTTACTTCAAAGCAACGATTCTCAATAATTTCCAGAAATCTACTTTAGGGAAAGAAATACATAGGTCCTTTAGGAACAAGTCAACAATGTGGAAGCGCAAATAGATCATATTGGTCTTGATGAATAGTTTGGCGGGGAGGCCTAGGGGATTTGGTCAACACTCAGAGGAAATGCAGACATGTAATCAAACATGATATTCCCCAACATCTTCCGCTATCCAGCATACACAGTATTATATTTCCCCCAATTCTACCTTTATTCAGCATAAACAGTATGATATTTCCTAACATCTTAATTTGTTAAGCATATTATATTCACTCACATCTCTCTTTATTCAAATTAAACTGCATTGTGTTCCCCAGATCTTCCTTTGTCTAGCATAAACATTATTATATTGTCTCACATTCTTCTTTATCCGAAGGTCTTCCTTTATCCAACATAAACATTATTCTATTCCCCACCAGAGCTTTTGAACTGAAATTCTACAGAAAAATTCCAAGACTATTGTGGACGAAGAAGAAGGGGGAAATCGACATCCAACATGATTTGAACACTAAGGAAAATTGGCTCGCTTACAGCATTCTCTCCTGGCCACGTTAAACATCATGGTGGCCTGGAGAGAACAGTGATAGAAGGTGCTGATAACGGTGGCTACAAGACATTAAAAACGCATTGACTATGCTAGCACCTATGGCTGGAAAACTGGCTAGAGAAATAGTCTTTCAGGTGTGCCATTACGAGAGCAACATTCTGTAAAGGACTTGATGATTAACTCTTTCAGGACAGCATTTTTTCTCGGGTTTGGACAGCATTAATTTTGAGCAGAATTTTTTTACAGCAACATGGCAAAGCTATTGTACCATGTAATATGTCAAATTAAAGAGAAATGAATGCAGAATGGATGCAAACTATCTAAGGATCAGTATTGCAACAATAACATATTAAAATAACACCATATTCGATGATGTTAGACGCACAGTAATTTTTTTGGGGTCAGAAATGTTGTGTGTACCTAACTTTTTTGCTGGATCAAAAACACTTCTCCTGATTCTTAAGAATTAACATGTCTTCTCTATTCAATTATGTATCAGCTAGCCTTTTATTTGAGACAATTATCCTGAATACTTTGCATTTTATGACAATTCTTATGTGACATGTCAAATTTTAGAATAACATAATGAAAAGGAAAACTGTTTTACTGAATTTTGTAACAGCAATATGACAAAGCTAAAACCGTCCTGTTGAAAAAGTACTGGCTGTATAGTACCATGTAGTACATCAAATTAAAAAACAAAATTGTCACATTCATGGCAACAGGAAAAACAATTATGAAAAAGGGCTGCCATTTTGCTGAAGACATGAAACCTTTTTTGTGTTAATCATTCCTGCAAAACATAAGGATACATACATATTTCATAACTGGTTATTCTGACAGATGACCTGCTTTTTTTGTTGCTCGCTGTATATTATGTCTGCTCAGATGAACTGCTTGCTTTTGCTTGCTATTTGTTGTCTGCTCAACACGTGTTATTTAATTTGATCCACCTGGGTTTTTACCAAAAAGTTAAGAACCCTTTTCCACTCTTCTAGGTGTATTTGGCGTATGGGGCTAGACCTATATTTGATAGAACAATCAACACTTGTTTATTTCACTTCTAAGATTTTCATTTGACGCTCCATGATCATCATCAGGTGCCTTGCCAACTGGCTTGAGTGATCATGCCTCTCCATAGTCTGTGAGCCTCATCATAATGTTTTTAAATAAAGTTTTTTTTGCTCCATCATAAACTTTTTAAATGCTGCGTGTGCTAATTTGCTTTCTGAATCTGATTGTTGCATGTCTGATATTGCACCATAATCCTGTGTGAGATTCACAGATATTTCTTTAACATTGGTATGTATACTTACATCAGCAAGTAAAAAACTGGCACTCTTCCGAAAAACGGGCATAGGTAGGTAGGTAGATAAGTTGAACCCCACCAGGACATCACACAAGCGATAAACATCTGGTGACGTAAAGTACCACCATGCGGATGAGGATCACCCGTGGAGAGTTCCCAGAAACCCCTTTCAGCCGTGAGGCCATATTTATGGCCCGGCTATATTCAGGGCCCCCTGGCAGATGCTAGGGTGGGGCTTTTGTTTGTTTGTTCCCTTTTTATTTTAATTCACAGAGGGAAAAGTGTTAATTTTAAAATACCTTAAGCAGAAAGATAATAGATATTAGGAATCATGCAGACATGTGTTACCTTGTTTGATAAGTTGTAAATGCATGCAATCAATTTATAAAAGCACCTGAATTATGAATGACATTTCTGCACATGAACATATTCATTATTAATACAAAGGAAATGTTTTGACATGCTTTTTTTTCTGGCATATTGTATTTACTCTTGAAATGATTAAATTTCAATTTTTGATTGAGTACTGAGGTCTCCTATGTGTCAGGGTCCTGTGTGGGTATGAGATGACGGTGTATGCCGATAGTGAATAGTGAACTCGAACTTAGGTGACCATTTAGCGACCGCGTGTTCAACAGCTTAGGTATATATTGACCAGATTACAGTGACGGATAGGGGGTTGTTTGGTCTCGAGGCATGTTGTCTGCCTCAAGCACTAGCGGTTCCGGTTTCAATCCCTGGTAAGGGCTGGGACTTTTTTATGTGGACTTGGACGTCTAGTAATTCCCCCTGGTCTCTGGGTAGTGAGATCGGACGCCTGTGTGCATTGTTGCTCACGTAAAAAAAATCCTTTCGCAGTTGGAAATTGAAAAGAGTTGCCTAACGGCGCTGCCCGGGCAAAATTTGGAGGTAAAAATCTACTCAAAGTATTTTCAGGATCGATCCTCCCCGGTGCTACAGAGCCTGTGCACTGTGCTGAGCTTCTTTGGACTCAGCTTGAGTTAGAAAAAGAACGGAGCACCTATGTATTACGTATTACACCCGTGTGCCATGATGTTGATCCGGGGTTCAAAACCTCAAATCTAACGTGACGGATGAACTAATCACACTCTGGTCCACAAGGCCCCCAGGGACCAGGCAGTGAGTTGGCGACTAGACAAAAGCAACAGGGAAATGGGTTTTCAGGGAGTTGTGCTGAGAGACTTGGACAGGACTTGTGGCCTTCTGACCATGAGCTGTTTCCGTATTTGACTAAAGTTGCCGATGGGTATTTTGTGATAACGTGTTAGCTTGATGGTAGTATAATATAAGTGTGTTGTAGACATAGTTCACTATGCATAGTCATATTATATGGTCTCAATGTATGGCATCTGCCTTGAGTGCTGGACGTCCCAGCTTAAAGCTCCAGTTAAAGCTGGGATTTTTTAACGTGGACTTCTTATTAATTTCTACTGGTCTCCGGGTAGTAAGACCAGACGCCTGTGTGTACTGTTTGTTGCGTGCGTAAAAAATACCTTGCAGTTGGAAAGAGTAGCCTCACTGCGCTGCCCAGACAAAATTTGGAGTTGAAAATCTGCCCAAAGTAGTGCAAAGGAGTTTGTGCACTGCGCTGAGATTCTTTAGACTCCATCTTGAGTTAGAAGTAAAACAGAGCACTTATGGGTTACACCTGTGTGCCATGATGTTGATCCGTTGAATAAACAAACTGATATTCATTCAGGTATTTCACCCTGTGTTTACAAGGTGGTTCGCAGAAAGGCCGTGACATAGTCTGCCCACTCATACTAACCAGAGCATGCAGTAGTACTGCAGTTCCAGTGTAACGTGCAGAAGCGTAGAAAAGAGCTTGGATCGGAGGCTGTTTGTTCTGATCCGGTTAATGCCTGGGAACAACTGGATGGCCAGTGTTTGAGTGGCGATTGTAAAGCCCTCCTGGCCGGTTGGGGTAGGGTTAGTGCGCCACCTCTGGGGCAAACTATTACTTGTTGTTCATGATATTGAAGTCTGATCTGTATGCTCTGACACCGTTGGTTTAGTTATTTCTGTCATGGATCTACCAAAGAGCTTTTTGCCTTGATGGCAGTAAACAGGTTTCAAAATATCTTCTCTTTCAGCATTCCAAGCCCTATAGGTTCAATGCTGCAGATTTCACCTGCCTTCTTTCATCTCTCTGACTGGTCCTCCCTTTCCAGTTGGCGACACCAAGTTTTTGCAGGTCTCGCTGGACATTATCTTCCCCCCATCGTCTTCTTAGTTTGCCCCCTAGTCTACAACTATTCATCTCTCTTGTGCATACAGTTTTCACTTCTCTGTCATCTGACATTATCTCTCCATCATCTTCTTGGTCTGCCTTATGTATAGTTTTTATTTCTCTGGCATCTGACATTCTCTCAATATGCCCCGACCATTTTAGTCTATTAGCTCTCATGATGCCAGTGATCAGTGGTGATTTAAACAGTAAATGACCTAAATAATAATTCTTTTCCTTTCTCCGTTTACTTCATCGAGGTGTGTGGCAGGTGGGGAGACCACATATTAGATTGGGTCCAGACATAAATTAGCAGGTACCCACATAGTAATTGGCTACACTGTGTAGGAACACATTTTAATGATCTTACATGAACTACAGCTCAGTAAACACCTAGCGTTCTCATGTAACTGTTGGCACCATCAGTATTAGAACTATGTCATGGCTGCCAAAGATGAGGCCTGCCTTTTTGAGTCATGCACAGAGAGCGACCTGTTTCGGAAACGGCCGAAAACACTTGACAGAAGGCTGTGAAAAAAAGATAAGCTGAACTGAGTCAAGAACTGACATCAAAGCACTCGGGGCATTCCCATGCATGCTGTGTCCTTATCTTCAGCAGCCAACGCAGTTCCAATACTGATGGTACCGGTCACAATCTGGTTATATGTCCGTCTTGCCTTTCCTCTGAGTGTAGTGAGCCGGCCAGACCCTCTGGTTACACCCCAGAGCCTCATTCTCTCCAGGTCATAATAATCGTCTTTCTCTACTGATTCCATTGATTGTTTCCAAAAGGCCTTGACACCATCAAGCTTGTGATGCATCAATTCACCACCCAGTGGTGCAAATCCAGCCAGTCTATCTGCTGTTCATTACCCACCACACCAGCATTGCCTGGAGAAAAGATCCAAAGTGACCTTCCCAGTAAAACTTGCGCAATTTAAACTAATGCCAAAACCATGGAGTCTTCAAATCTAATTACATTCATTTATTTGTTTTCAAATGTACAATCAACAAGAAAGAATATCAATACATCACAAGACACTAAGAAAACAATGAATTAGATTGTGTAACATATGACACTGGTTTCCCCATTTATTAGTTTTCAAACACTCTTACAATTGAAAGTCTTTAACAACAATAATCAAACCAGTAAAGGTTGTAATAGAGCTTCAGGTAAAAACCATCAAGAACTTATCATTCCTATCCCTGTTTTGTTAAATAAAACACTCGGTGAGTAGTTCTTACAAGGTTGTATTTACAGATTTTGAATGGGTGTCCTACTCCCACATGTTTATGGATAGCTGCAATGCCTTAGTGTGGTTTTTTTAATTGATGATTATAAGAATGAGATGGACAGATCCAATGCTTAATGGAGAAAACAAACTCAAGTACGTTCCCATTAACATCCACATTCTTTGGCCATGTCGCAAGAAGAGGAAAAGTTAAGTAATTTATGACAGCCGGAGAGTTGGAGGGGAATAGAGGCCAAGAGGAAAGATGGACAATTTGGCACAGTGGCAAGGAAGAACAGAACAAATGACTGTGGAGATGTATGACTGCCAATACCACATGTTAGAGACTAAGAAGAAGAAGAAAAGAAGAAGAAGAAGAAGAAGAACCAACCAGGCCATGGATCGTTAGTGGATACAGATTTTAATGAGTATTTATAGCAACAACTTATCATACTTTTATACACAACAAACTTAACTGATAAACAGGGAACCGCTCATAAATAACCAACCACAAAAAACACAAGACTAAGAACACATAATAACTAAAGGGTTGCCAGTCGATCCAAAACATGTCTGTAAGCAGCCAAATCTTCCTGAAACGCATTCTCCAGGTATTGAAACTTCTGTTCTTTCTTCATGATGCCCAAAGTCTGGGACAGCTCTTCTGGGTTTAAGGTTTTTTCCAGCTTTTGGTAGGTCCTTCGGTTTCTCTGTGGATATAATTAAGGAAAAAAAAGCTGTACAATTGATATCAACAACAAAAATAATTTAAACAAAAAGAATAACATAAACAAATTTACCCACTATCTCTTTAACAAGCATATTAGAAGGCAGCCAATTAAGCCAGTTTTCAATGAAGTCGGAGTACATCTGCCTGAGAGGTGAAGAACCAACAGTCTGCATACAAATAAGTCAGATCTATAAAACGGATGTGCATACAAAGATCAAAGTCCAGAAGTGGACAAACAACCAGAACTTTCAGAAACAGAATCAAGAGTTTATAGCCAGTGAACATGAACAAGAAGAAAAAGATATCTATTTAAAAAAATACTAGAAGAATCAAAGCAATGTTGACAGCACAATGTAATGCCTGACATACGTGGCCGTATCTTTTCAGGTGCACTGTACAGTAACAATGAAACAAGATAAGGAAAATGAATCCTTTTGATTGATTTACAAAATCCACCACTAAAATGTGCGGTAAACAGGTAGTTACAAATGGAACTTTTACACACACACAATGTTTACATGCATCAAAACAGAATATCAACAAACATCCAACAGTGGAATGTCAACACACAGAAATAGAAAGTTAACACTCACCAAAAATGGAATGTTAAGCCTCTTTTTCACATCAAGTCTGTAAGTTCGGAACATTTCTTTATTACTTTCGTTTGTTGCTTTTAGTCTCAAGATCTCATAAATTCTTCGAGCCTGGACCTGAATAAATAAAATAAGTCAAGAATTTACAAGACTGGACATGGGGTGTTCCCACATTTGTTGTTGTTTATTTATTTGTTTGCTATTTCAAATTCCAAAAATTAAATGAGCATTCCACATAAGGAAACAAAGAATATAGACTGCTTCCTAATTGTAGATTGTTTCCTGTTTTCTAACCGAAGACTGTTTCCTGACCGAAGACTGTTTCCTGTTTCCTAACCGAAGACTGTTTCCTGTTTCCTAACCGAAGACTGTTTCCTGTTTCCCAACTGTAGATTGTTTTTCTGTTTTCTAATTGTACACTGTTTCCTGCTTTTCTAACTGTAAACTGTTTCCTTATCAGCTCTCTTCTTCTCCTCTAGTCCTGTTCTGCATTCCAGCCTCAGGCTTTGAAGAGGCATCAGATGCGGGCCTTGGTATATGCTTCAGATGCTGGTAGTCATTTACGACTTCGGATATTCCATCTTTCCAACGCTGGCCTGGTTGATTTCTAGCTCTGCTTCCAGTGTGTCTCAGTGACAGGGCTCTCTGTGGTGCACTGCCTGGTGGTAGTCTTGACGCATCTTCCAACCATTTCTTCTTCTTCACGTTCACCAGCTGTACACTCTGGCAGAAAGTTCTGGTTGTTTGTCCACCTCTGGACTTTAGTCTTGCTCCAGAACCTGACTGTTGCATGCACATCTATTTAACAGATCTGACTTTACTTACGCAGACTGTTAGTTCCTTGCCTCTCAGGCAGATGCACTCCGACTTCAAGTGAAAAAGTAAAGATCCCTTACACGCCTTAGGTGCATCGGGCATATAGGAAGAGCATCCCAAATTTTTACAGACCAATCGGCACTTGGTGGGTAATGTGGTCAGCATTTCGCCGGCCGCTCCGACTTCAAAGAAAGCCCTAAATAGTCAACTCTTACGACATGGATGTTGGGGAGGCAGTGGATCTATTCTTGTTTCCCCCATAATGGGACCCTGAAACCCACATGGGGATAAACTGTATTAAGAGCTCACCTGATTCGTTGAGGACAGGCACAGAAATGATAAACTGTCATGAATACCAACCTTGCTTAGCTTCAGCTTGGTCTGGGCCTCATGCAACATTTCATGGGAAAACCCTTTCTGCAGCTCCTCTGGCTGGAAGCTCTTCAGGCGCTGGCAGTTTTTGGCATCAACATAATCCCGGACTCTCTGAAAGTTTTCTGAAGGATCTTCAACTGTGATGGATGAACAAACATCTCGTGTATGAAAGTAAAATATATCCTAAACACGTTGTTCTGTGGAAAAACTCTAAATCTTCTTCTTCTTCTTCGCGTTCACTAGCTGTAAACTCTGATGGAAAGTTCTGGTTGTTCATCCACTTTTGGACTGCAGTCCTGTTCCAGAATCTGACTGCTGCGTGTGCATCCATTTTACAGATCCGACTCATTTGTATGCAGACTGCTGGTTTCTTGCCTCTCAGGCAGATGCACTCCGACTTTGAAAGAAGCTCCTAATTAGTCGACTTGTTACGACATGCTTCTGGGTAGGCAGTAGGTCTATTCATGTTTTCCCTATAATAGGGCCCCAGAACCCACGCAGGGTAAAAAAACTTATAATAAAATAAACGCTTGAGTGTGTTGTAGGAACAACCTGCTAAGAAATGTATGCTAGCCATGATGATTCATGAAAATGTCTTAAACAAAATTTACGCTAAACAACACATTCTAATAAAAGTCCTCTATAAATTATACACAACACTAGGCAATCTTTAACAAGTCTAGAGTACAATATATACACAACACTAGGCAATCTTTAACAAGTCTAGAGTACAATATATACACAACACTAGGCAATCTTTAACAAGTCTAGAGTACAATACACACACACACTGATATACACAACACTAGGCAATCTTTAACAAGTCTATAGTACAATATATACACACACACACAGATATACACAACACTAGGCAATCTTTAACAAGTCTAGAGTACAATACACACACACACACATATATACACAACACTAGGCAATCTTTAACAAGTCTAGAGTACAATATATATACACACACACAGATATACACAACACTAGGCAATCTTTAACAAGTCTAGAGTACAATACACACACACACACACACAGATATACACAACACTAGGCAATCTTTAACAAGTCTAGAGTACAATATATATACACACACACAGATATACACAACACTAGGCAATCTTTAACAAGTCTAGAGTACAATACACACAAACACACTGATATACACAACACTAGGCAATCTTTAACAAGTCTAGAGTACAATATATATACACACACACACACACACACACAGATATACACAACACTAGGCAATCTTTAACAAGTCTAGAGTACAATATATATACACACACACACAGATATACACAACACTAGGCAATCTTTAACAAGTCTAGAGTACAATATATATACACACACACACACAGATATACACAACACTAGGCAATCTTTAACAAGTCTAGAGTACAATATATATACACACACACAGATATACACAACACTAGGCAATCTTTAACAAGTCTAGAGTACAATATATATACACACACACACACACACAGATATACACAACACTAGGCAATCTTTAACAAGTCTAGAGTACAATATATATACACACACACAGATATACACAACACTAGGCAATCTTTAACAAGTCTAGAGTACAATATATATACACACACACAGATATACACAACACTAGGCAATCTTTAACAAGTCTATAGTACAATATATACACACACACACAGATATACACAACACTAGGCAATCTTTAACAAGTCTAGAGTACAATACACACACAGATATACACAACACTAGGCAATCTTTAACAAGTCTAGAGTACAATACACACACACACTGATATACACAACACTAGGCAATCTTTAACAAGTCTAGAGTACAATACACACACACACACACACACACAGATATACACAACACTAGGCAATCTTTAACAAGTCTAGAGTACAATATATATACACACACACACACACACACAGATATACACAACACTAGGCAATCTTTAACAAGTCTAGAGTACAATATATATATATATATATATATACACACACACACAGATATACACAACACTAGGCAATCTTTAACAAGTCTAGAGTACAATACACACACACACACACAGATATACACAACACTAGGCAATCTTTAACAAGTCTAGAGTACAATATTTACACACACACACAGATATACACAACACTAGGCAATCTTTAACAAGTCTAGAGTACAATATATATACTTACACACAGATATACACAACACTAGGCAATCTTTAACAAGTCTAGAGTACAATATATATACACACACACAGATATACACAACACTAGGCAATCTTTAACAAGTCTAGAGTACAATATATACACACACACACACAGATATACACAACACTAGGCAATCTTTAACAAGTCTAGAGTACAATATACACACACACACACACACAGATATACACAACACTAGGCAATATTTAACGAGTCTAGAGTACAATATATATATATATACACACACACACACACAGATATACACAACACTAGGCAATCTTTAACAAGTCTAGAGTACAATATATATACACACACACAGATATACACAACACTAGGCAATCTTTAACAAGTCTTAGTTAGTTATTCCTCTTGTGTCAAAGATGGCGCATAGGGCAGAGGTCATAGCTTTCCACGTCTGTCGGTTCGTTGCCACTTGATGTAGGTCTTGGGTGCGACTGAGACCTATGGTTGAGCTCTCCCTTGTGATGGTTCTACGGAGTTTCTTTTGGTCTTCCCTGTTTTCTTTTACCCTCTGGTGACCATATGAAGGCTTGGTGGGGAAGTCTCTGTATGTCCATTCTGAGTACGTGACCGATGTAATTCCAGCGACGCATTCTAATAAAATCAGACACATATTTTTGTTTTGTTTCCTGTCTTATAGATGTATTGGACCTAAAGTCCGACCAGTGAACATTCAATAGCTTTCGGAGGCATCTATTCTCGAAAGCGACTAGTTTCTTATCGATTGACAAGTCTAGAGTACAATATATATATATATATACACACACACAGATATACACAACACTAGGCAATCTTTAACAAGTCTAGAGTACAATATATATATATATATATATATACACACACAGATATACACAACACTAGGCAATCTTTAACAAGTCTAGAGTACAATATACACACACACACAGATATACACAACACTAGGCAATCTTTAAAAAGTCTAGAGTACAATATATATATACACACACACACACACTCACAAATATACACTAAACTAGGCATTGTATTAAGTCTACTGTTCCATGAAAAATCCGATATAAAATATATGCTAAACAAGATGTTTCATTAAAAGTCTACATGTCTGAGCATGGTATCTAGTTTCTCTGTATTTAACAGGAAACTTCCATCTAGTTAGACAACAACAAAAAACAGCCAGCAGCTAGTTCAGGAAACTGACCAAGAAAGAGATGGTGGGATGCAATTTAAAATAAAAATAAAAAAAGATACTACACAATATGACATTAACAGACACTATAGCAACTAGAAAGAAAAACTGCATCTAACTTCTCTCTGCAGTGCTTTACGACAAGCAAACAGAAGAACAGGATAACTTCAAGTTTGAAATTGCTGAAATGTAAGGCAGTGATAAGATTGATAATGCAGGTGGTGCGGGTGATAAGCTACATTCATCATGAAGGTGGCAGCTGAAAAGATAACTGGAGTTTTCCTGATATGCTGGAACGGAGAAAGTGGAGGGGGGAATGGAAAGAGGTAGAGAAAAAGGGTTTGTCATTCAAGGAAGGACATGGGGAATACGGAGGGGGAGGGGGGGATTAAATAGGAGAGAGAGTGAGAGAACAATGGTCAGAAAGAGAAAAAGGAGTACAGACAGAGTAAGAGAAAAAGAATGGGCAGAGAGAGAGAGACAGCAAGAAAAAAAGAGAGAGAAAGAAAGAGAGAGAGGGGAATTATGGGCAGAAAGAGAAACAGAACAGACAGACATAGAGAAAAAGAGATAACAGACAGAAAACCTAGAGAAATATTCCAGTTCCACTAATCAAACAAAGCTGGCAACCAAAACAGAATCAACATGTTACACAGAAGATGTTCCTGCAGAGGACGAGCATTTTCTGACGATTATCGTGGATAGGCAGGCAGAGATAAGATTTGTAAGCAATGTCAACAAAGACAGAAGATCTCAGATTCTGGCTAATATAGATTTCCCAGCTTTATACAGATACAAGGGTAACAGAACCAGAGGTCGACCACGCAGAAATATCAGAGACACTAACCCATCTGGGTTCTGGGACCCCATTGTGGGGAAAACAAGACCCAAATGCCTGCCAAAAAGTATGTCATAAGAGTCGACTAAATGGGAGCTGCCTTCGAAGTCCCGAGTACATCTCCCTGCGAGGCAAGGAACCAACAGCCTGAATGCAAATGAGTCAGACCTGTGAAACGAGTGTGCACACAACACTCAGTTAATGGAAGAGGACTAGAGTCTAGAAGTGGACAAAGAACCAGAACTTTCCGCCAAAGTTTAAAGCCAGTGAACAAGAAAAAGACGAAGATCAGAGACACTGAAAAGTACTTTATATGAAGCAAACAAAAGGGCCCACTCCAGAGATCTCTTCCTGCCCTGACGCCGCAAGGCATTTCAGGAGTAGAGAAAAGAAAAAGAAGGAGATAGTCATTCCTTCAAGCTTTCAAGTGCTTCATCTTTTTAACTGTTTTGTGTGTGTGCTTCTGGCTACAGCTCGCTAATGTAGCTTCCACACATGACAGACTATGATTTGTGGCCTAAGCTGTATATTTCATGTGCAGTGCCTTTTGTTTGCACTTGCAGCGGTTTCAGGTGTGACATTCAGATAATTCAAAATGGTTGGCTAGTGGCTGTTTTGTGTTTGACAGGGCTAAGCTCCTTACGCATTAATACTGTGAGTGTATGACTAGCAAATCGTGAATGACTTCCATCAAAGACAAAATGCAATTCTACTGTTGGTACCTCTGGCAACTGCCTTGTGCACTTAATGTGTGTGCATGTTTCTAGAATTAGCAGGGACTCATTCTTTGTTTTTAAATGGTATCAGGTAAAATAATCAGGTTAGGGGACAATGAACACCACTTCTGACGCAGAGAAAGATACATCTGTCAACAAAAGCATATCTCATAAGAACGTTTCTTTTACCACAACTAACAAGCGAAAGATCAGAGATGAGATGTCTTAGGAAAGCTGCCGGTGTGACAAGACCAGATAAAATCAAAAATGAAGAAATTAGAAGAAAACTAGGACTGAAACAATACAATTTATTAAAGAACAACAAATGAGATGGTTTGGTCATCTACCGAGAATGCCCTGGCACCAACTGCCACAGAGAGCTACGCTGAAGAAATATAATATACACATAGCAAGGTAAAGACCACGCAAGAGATGGAGTGACATCTTCAGGAGCAATCTAACAGATATGAACACCACCTTGTACAATGCATTGGAAAAAGCGCACAAACAATCCTTACATCTCCCCCCAACACCTCGCTGAGGTCAATGGTGAAGGGGAGGAGGTGACGATCAGGTAAATTTGTGTAAAGTTAAGAGGGCTGGCGTGATGTAGACCACATCACTTACAGGGATGCTGATTGGTTTACAAAATACAGGTGTAGCCCTATAGGTGTGCCCAATATGCCTGAAAGCAAGGAGAAGGGTACTTCAGTTTTCAAATGGGACACCTGAAGGCATTTTGTGTGATTTTCACTGGCATCTGCAGCGAAGCGACCCATCTGCAGGGAAGCGACCCATCTGTAGCGAAGTGACACATCTGCAGCGAAGCGACCCATCTGTAGCGAAGTGACACATCTGCAGCGAAGCGACCCATCTGCAGGGAAGCGACCCATCTGTAGCGAAGTGACACATCTGCAGCGAAGCGACCCATCTGTAGCGAAGTGACACATCTGCAGCGAAGCGACCCATCTGTAGCGAAGTGACACATCTGCAGCGAAGCGACCCATCTGTAGCGAAGTGACACATCTGCAGCGAAGCGACCCATCTGCAGCGAAGCGACCCATCTGTAGCGAAGTGACCCATCTGCAGGGAAGCGACCCATCTGTAGCGAAGTGACACATCTGCAGCGAAGTGACCCATCTGCAGGGAAGCGACCCATCTGCAGCAAAGCGACACATCTGCAGGGAAGCGACCCTCTGCAGCGAAGCGACCCATCTGCAGGGAAGCGACCCATCTGCAGCGAAGTGACCCATCTGCAGCGAAGCGACCCATTTGCAGCGAAGCGGCCCATCTGCAGGGAAGCGACCCATCTGCAGGGAAGCGACCCATCTGCAGCGAAGTGACCCATCTGCAGCGAAGTCTGAATCTTAACTACTACTGATGAAGAAATATATATACCTGTGATGTCCAAAACCTCAGGCCGACTATAGCACAAATTGTAAAACGTCTGGATGAGTCGAGCCCCGAGCCCCAACTTCTGAAAGGGAGGTAACACCAACACCTGACTGCAAGGATGGAGACAAAGAAAGACAGAAATGTAGATATATTAGCATACAGATATTGAACATTTCGTTCTTGTTCTGTGTCTTCTTTCAAGGCAAGCCCATCTCTTTGACCCAAACGCCATGAGAAGACTAAATCTAGCCACTTCCGGTTGTGACACAGTCCTGTAAATGCTGATATATATATATATATATACACACACACACACACACACATATATATATTTATATCATCATGTCTGCAGTGACCTGTTCTCGAAAAGTGCAGTTATATTTTATTGGTCCTATGTGCACCAAAACAGTGTTTAAAAGGGCCAGTAAAAGTGGGTAAAGGACCTTTTTTTCATGCCTTTAGGCATATAGGGCTAGACCTGTATTTTATAGACCAATCGACACAAGATGGGTGATGTGGTCAGCATCACGCCGGTCGCCTTTACTTCCCGGGAATGCATCCATACCCACTCAAGGCTGAATCAATCTGGGAGCCAAGATATTTCTTTTTAAGTCGGGCTCCGCCAGAGAGCGAACCTACGACTTTTTTTAAAAACAAATGTTGATAATCAAATTAATCAATCCTCATCGCGCCCAGAGGCACATAAGGCAGAGACAAACTGTCGCCACTCAGTGTGATCCTAAGCTATCCTCTCTATCTCTTCATCACTGACAATCATCTTGTCACCGACATCTATGACATCTGAATCTCCATGAGTATTACTTATATTTATGTTTGTCTCTGTTTCTGTAGCGGTTATCTTTTTTTTTAACAGTACGGGGTTGCTGGCCCCACGTCCAACCCCTCTTAGTCACCTCGCACGACATGCTGCAGTGGTCCTATTCTTTATGACACCTGGCACCACACAGTGAGCTGATAATCAAACAGGTTCAAATACCAGAAATCCTATTCAACCGCATAGAACAGTTATATTACGGGACCTAACAGTTACATAACCTGTCATCTACTGGGCACCACACAGTGAGCTGATAATCGAACAGGTTCAAATACCAGAAATCCTATTCAACCGCATAGAACAGTTATATTACGGGACCTGGCAGTTACATAACCTGTCATCCAGTCCGACTGGGAATAAGGGCAATAACTCACATAGCATTTACATGATTCCTGCACAGTGAGTGTGGCATCATAAGCGTCAATTTAGTTTCTCTTTCAAGGGCAGGCAGGTGGATCGTGAAACAAATTCCCTGGTTTTGGTGGGCTATGGTTGCGAAAAGGTTGAAGAACAATGCTCTACTGCATGTACCGTAAACAAAAAATACACCCTTAAATTACTATTTGCATTAATTTATTTGTCTGTAGTCGTCGATGTGGATGGTCGTCAAGGAGAAGGGGTATAAAAAGATCATCAACATGTAGCAGGTCTTCTGCAGAACGTCGCTCTCATGCCTCATGTATTTTCCTACCAAAGGTATCACTTACATCCCATGCCCATTTCCATGGTCGTCGGCCTCTGCACATTCTTCCTGGTACTGCACATTCTGCTACTGCTGATATGGCCAAAATATTTCAGCTACCGAGAAAAATTGCTGTTTATTAGCCAAATTTCCTCGAACTTTAAGGATGTCATTACTTCTTTTCAGTTCTATATTTATAACGTACCCCAAACATGGGAAATCCGTGGGAATTCCACAGCTGACCTGACAGTCCGCTTTTACAAGGGGTGCAAGTGTGCTGCTGTTGTTGAGTGTTCATCTAGTGTCTTATGGTGTGACATGTTTCTTAGTGCGCAATCGGCTGCTTGTTGATGTGCAACTGGCCGGTCTTCAATACTAGTCATGTTTTTTCAACATGTGACTATATAGCGTAGTTGGTATCACATCCACCTTATCAATAAAAGATGCTGCGTTCAATCCCTACGTGATGCTTTTCATCCATTGTAAAATTATTTTTTTTAAATGAAATGTAAATTGTGTGTCTGTGTGTGTGTGTTTTTGTCGTCACAGCGGTTTTTTTTTCCCTACATGTAAAATGTGCACTTTGGCTATGTGAACTCTTTGTGCAATCGCAGGAAATGCCAGTTGGGGTACTGTGGGAGGGCCCTAAAAAGGGCCAAAAAGCATTTGTCCGTCTTGCGACAGACTCCGCCAAATACCCACTGTTGTGGAAATACACATCCATATTGATTTTTACGTTTTGAAAAGACGCTGCCGATCACTGCAGCATTCAAAAACAATGTATTGGCACAAACCTCCCGTAAGCAGTTGCTCTATCCCACGGCATGCATTTGGCTACATGCTCAGCTCTACTTGGCAAAATCGAATGCTTGTCATCTCGTGAGACCAGCAGTATATAAACAAAATGATCTGTCTATACGGGAGCCGCGACCCTTCCAGCCATGTTCCTTGCCGTAGTGGTATGTCCAGACAAGTGGACTTTCTACAGCGCCAACAGTCGTGTCTTTCAGACAGCAATAGCAGCATCTGGTGGTTGTTTCTGCAACTTCTGGTTCTGTGCAGAATGCCACGCTGTTGCAGGAAGGCAATGCTGCTTTCTTTGTCTTGTACAGATGCAACTAGTTGTAGGAAATTCCTCGTGACTGCTGCTGGAACCATCAGCAAACAAAGATGCATGGAGACTGACTGATGCGGCAAAGAGCTGTAAACACAGGTCATAGTTAAGCGCGCGCTTTTGCGATGCGAACTTGGATGGGGAGAAACCCCAACCTCAACACCCTGGAATTGATTGGGAATGTCTCCCGTGACATCATCGTGACGTCAGGGGTACGTTAAAAATATAGTAGCTTTCTTTTCTTCTTTGTCCACACAAGTAGATAACTAAACTACATTGTTCACGTTCACCAGCTGTAAACTCTGGTGGAAGGTTCTGGTTGTTCGTCCACTTCTGGACTTCAGTCCTGTTCCAGAAACTGAGTGTTGCGTGCACATCCATTTCACACGTCTGGCTCACATGCATGCAGGCTATTGGTTCCTTGCCTGTCAGGCAGATATACTCTGACTTCAAAGGAAACAATTAGTTGACTCTTACGACATGCTTGCAGGTAGGCAATGGGTCTATTCTTGTTTTCCCCATAATAAGACACCGGAACTCACATCAGGATAAACTATATTAGGAGCTTACCTGATTCTAGGTCTGATTCGTGACGGATAGGCATAGAAATTATAAACTGTCATGTAGCCGGCAGCAGCATATCTAGATTCTCCATTTACTCTGTACTTCTCCAACCTGCGTGTAAAAAAAAAAAAAAAAGGAATGATAGAAAACTGAATTCTTCATGATGTCTTTTTTTTTCTTCTTCGCGTTACCAGTTGTACACTCTGGTGGAAAGTTCTAGTTGCTCGTCCACTACTGAACTGCAGGCCTGCTCCAGAACCTGAGTGTTGCGTGTGCATCAGTTTTACAGATCTCATTCTCTTGAATACAGACTGTTGGTTCCTTGCCTCCCCGGCAGATGCACTCCAACTTCAAAGGAAACTCCCTAATTAATACAGTGGGAAAACTTGGTGACAACCGGTAAGGCTGACAAACACTGATGCAGAGAGTCAACATTTCTGGACAAGTTCTATGAAGGAATACAGCGGAAAACTTGGTGACAACCGGTAAGGCTGCTGGAAAAAGAGTCAGGGGAAGACAAAGAGATAAATACCAGAATGGCACAGCCACTTGGATGGGGCAGAAAAAGTTCTCGGGCAGGGGTGTACTTCGAGAGGATTAAGGGTTTGCATGGCTAGAGCTGCTGCTTTGGACTGTGCAGGTTATGATATTATTTTTGACCCCGACAGAAAAAACTCCAACCTTACCAAAGATTTGAGCCTGGGTATCCCACATGATAGTCCTGTGTTCTTAACCAGTCAGGCAGCTGATCCTCATAAAACAAGAGCACTGACCGGATTCTGGTGATCACACAGGATTGCAAACTATGGCCGCCCAAGCTAAACCAACTTGACCTACATCAGTCATAAAAGTTCACAAAGTGTCACCAACTTTCACGACACTACTGCTAGTTTTCAGTATAACTTTGATCTACGTGGCCTCCTTTTAAACAAATCTCAAGAGGTGAAATTAATCCTTTTGTCCCAAGAATTCGCAAAACCAATACTTCCATTTTGAGTCCAATTCCCCATAATTTTTTTTTTTTAAAAACCCTGTTCGGTCTCCCAAATGCCCAGCCTGACCACCCTACTATCCTAAGGATATTATGTCAGTTATTTTTCTTCTTCACATTCACCAGCTGTAAACTCCGGCGGAAAGTTTTGGTTGTTCATCCACTTCCGGACTGCAGTCCTGTTGCAGAACCTGAGTGTTGCATGTGCATCTGTTCGACAGATCTGACTCATTTGTAGGCAGCAACTGTTGGTTCCTTGCCTCTCAGGCAGATGCAGTTCAACTTCGAATGAAGCTCCCAATTAGCTGAATCTTACGACATGCTTTTGTGTAGGCAGTGGGTCTATTCTTGTTTTCCCTATAACAGGACCCCAGAACTCGCACGGAGAATTACGTCAGTAATCCAGACTGAATGGGGAAACCGCCCAGTATGAGTTTTTTTTAGATGGCTCATGCCGTTTGGTTTTCACCCGTGAGTTGGTTTTGACCAACCCCGGTCCTTCTGGCAAGATCAGTGCAGCAGAGCTACACTTTAAACTTAGCCAAAAGGCAGAGAAGCAACCGATTCCCCATGAATATCACTTTTCCGACTGGTCTATAGTGACCTGTAAGAGAGACAGAGATAATGCTACTGGCTGTTTTCACATCGCATAAATATTTAGAAAGTCAGGATACGAACACATTACCTAAAAACTGAATTTAGGTGAGGAACAGCTGGCCAAGCGATCATGCCAGGCTCTCATGCCAGAGACCCGAGTTCCGACACCTAGTAAGGTGATGAAGTTGTTCTGTCAGGGACAAAATTAAACATCCTAACCTGCACAGTCCGTGGCAACAGTATTAGCCAGGCGGCACTAGACGCAAGCCTCCCTCTCCATACCGCCCTAAAAAAGGGCCAAACAGACAGTAGTGACAGTTTCAGCACTGAGGCAGGGTTTTCTTTTAAGGTAAAAGGCTTGTTAAAAAAAACGGAATGGTGGAAGAAGAAAGAAACTCACAACAAGAAATAATCCCACTGTTCGTCATCAACATCAATGTATGAAGCAGCATCAATATAAAACTTGATGAAAGACTGCAGTCTTGAATGGTAGTCTCTGAAACCGGGCTCCTCTATCTTAGTGTAGTACACCTCGAACTGCCGCTCTCCTGTTTCTGCAATACGGAAGAAAAAACGTTCTAGAGAATCAGAAGAAAGAAAGTTATAGAGATTTAAAAAAGATACAGAGATCTGGAAGAAAGATCATTCTTGAGTTTTAGCAGAAAGAAAGTTCTAGAGATATTAAAGAAAAAAGTTCTAGGGATTTAAAAGAAAAAAAAGTTCTAGGGATTTGAAAAAAAAAAAAGTTTGAAAGAAGGAAATTTAGAGAGATTTAGAAAAATGAAAGTTCCTGAGATGTGCAAGGGAGAAAATCCTAGAGATGTGAAAGAAAGCAAATTTTGAGAGATCTGGAAGAAAAAAAGTTCTAGCGATCTGGAAGAAAGAAAATTCTTAAAATCTGTGAAATAAAATCTAACGAGACATCTGAAAGAAGAGAGAAGAGACAGAGATTTAGATATGGAAAAAGTGACAGAGAGAGAGAAAGAGAGCATGGAAGGAAGGAGGAAGACGGGGGAGGAGAGGGTGTGTGGGTAAATGAGGACTGGCAAGGCTCAACAAAGATAAAAAATGTGTGTGTGTGTGTGTGAGAGAGAGAGAGAGAGAGAGTCATCAGTCAACACAGCAAGAAACGAATAATGCAAACCAACAGTAATAATGCAAAACTTTGATCGAAGAAATAATATGGAACATTGAAAATCACAAGAATAATACTAAACAGTCACCATCACAGCAATATAGAACACGGGTCAGCACAAAAAGAACCTCTAGTGACTGCCTTATGCATTCACTGCATGTGCAAGCTTCTTGATTTTTCTGGGGCAGATCTGTTTCCTTAGTTCGCACACTTGAGAGTGAGCAGTCGTTTTGTGAGTTTGAAGCAATTATGGTCATTATCATCATAAACTGCTTCTGCTTTTAAGAGTTGTGGGGAGGAAAAATTTGTGATCTAGCTGAGGCTGGCAGGTACTGGCTCAGTCATGCTTGAAGGTGTAGTCTCTGATACTGATGATCCATGTTTTTCGTGGCTGTCCTCCTTGCTGTTGTAGCTGATCTTCTGAGATGTAGTGCCTGTGAAGGTATCTATGTTGATGCATTCTAATGAAATGGCCAAACCACCTGATCTGCTGTTTCTCGACAAGGCGTCGTCCCCACAATCTAAGCAACAGAATCATTGTTCATGTGATCTCGGATGGTCAGGTCAGCAGCTTTTCTCAGGCATCCCATCTCCCAAGTGGTGATTCTGGGTACGTGTGCTTTAGATAATGTCCATGTTTGGTACATTAATCAACACAGTATTAACCATAGAGAATTATACATTATAAAAAATAAACAGCTTACTAGCAGGGACTGTGTATGAATCTATCAACTGGCCAAAGGGTCTGAAAGTCTGATCATCAGACAATAACTTCCTGAATGTGTCGAGGTTTGTCACAAAGCCAGGTGGTAGTTCTTCAGCCAGTTTTTTCTCAAAGTCATCTGGCTGCAATAGAAGCACAAATACATCATTTATTATTTTTAAAAAAGGTAAAGTCGGGAGATGTGAACCGGTGTCAAAGCACACGGTTATAAACCATAAGTGCTCTGCTACCAGTACGGACAGTTGATAAGAAACTGTCCGCCTGTGTCGCCATCAGCGCGCAACTCCGAAGCTACAGCGACGTTCCTCCATTTACCCCAGAGTGTTAACTCTGGTACCCATTACCTAGAGGCTGGGTGAACTCCGGGAACCGCCCGGTTTCGAACACCGGGGGAAAAGGGGGGGGGGGGGGGGGAATGTTTCAGCAAGCTGTGGCTGGATTTGAAAGTGAGTCTCCTATCGACTGCGCTAACGCAGCTCCCTTCAACATTTATTATAATAATCTTAAACAACAATTAAAAAACGTTCTCAAGATGGCAATGGGAGGCTGTGTTTGCATTCGCTACTTGTGATTTTTCTTTCAGACTGTTGTGTACTTTCTCTTATCCTGGACTGCTACTGCGCGAGCGTTTGCAAAACAAGATACATTCTTCTGTGTGTGTGTGTGAGTGAGACATAGTGTATGTGTGCACGTGTGTGCATGAGAAAGAGTGCGTCCGCACATGTGTGTGTGAGTGTATCTGAGAATGTGTGCGAGACTGTGTGTGTGTGTGTAAGAAAGTGTGCGTGCACACACGTGTGGGAGAAGATAAAAAAGAAGGGGGGGGGGGGTTTGCCACATGTCGATGTACTACATCACAGCAGGACGACATCTTAGCCGCATCCTGGACACTATCCTCACAATGTTTTTTGACTGCATTGGTCTACTATATGGGTGGACAGAACCCCAACAGAAAAATGTCAACCGGTTTTTGTGTGTTGGTAAATAGGAATCAAGAACACATGGTTAACTCAGTGAACCAGCAACAACAATTTTAAAAATTCCTGACCGATGCATCTTCAATGTCTTGTATCCACTTCACAGAGGTCTGACTTGTTTTCTGGACGCTGAGCCCTCCATCATGGTCCCTTCCAGGCCACCATCAAGTTTAACATAGCCAAAGATGCTGCAGTTTTCAGGACTGGCTGCTGAGCCAGTTCTCCTTAGTGTTCGTCCTATCTTAAGCTTCTTCTGTCTTCTTGGTCCAGGATATTCTAAGCTTCTCCTGCGTTCAACATCAATAATGCTTACCATTTAGTCCATAGTCCGGCTTGGGTCACTAATAGGATTAAGCATCTAAGGTCACCGCTGGTCTCCCACAGCTTTACTTGTAATGCCGCTCCCTTGGGCTAAATCCACAATCCTTGCTAGGAGAGGTTAGGGCAATCCTGCAGTATGTGTTAAGGAGTCTGTCTTGTTGATCCACAATCAAATGCAGCAGATTCTATTATGCCTATCCCGTGCAGGTGTGCTCTGTCTTGCCCGAAGCCTTGATGTTTGTTCTTTCCTGTTGAGCTTTTTTATGCAGTCACTCTCAGGTCTGTAGTCTCCATTCTGCCTTCTCCGCTGACCATTGAAAGACTGCTTTAGGGCTGTTTTAATTTCATTGTAACTCTGTGGTGGAAGATTACTTCCAGCTTTCACCAGTTCATCTGCTCTCTCATTTCCGTGAATACCACAATGGGCAGGTATCCACTGCAGGACCAGTTCTGCTGCCTTGGAAAGCAAGCCAGTTAGTTTGTCTTGTTGTCTGCTTGACAGTGCTTGTAGAACAGACAGAGAGTCTTTCAGGGTGCTTTCCTAATATCCTACCCCAAACAGGGAAAATACACAGGTCATGTGACAGTATAATATTTCAGGGGGTGGTAGAAAGGCTGCATGCAGTCGTGGGACCTAGGCTGCATTCTCTCGAGGGACTTTAATTTGGGGTTAGGGCCAGTTCTAGATGTTTTGGGGTCGTTAAAAGCATCAGAAAGCCGGGAAAACCAGTCCTACCACCCTCTAAAATGATGGACAGTCCCGTGACGTCATCTGGGGTAGGATATTATGAAAGAACCGTCACCGTTGTGTCCTCTGTTTTCTTGAGGCATGCAGGTGGACTGCAGAAAGGAGGACACTTGCCTCAGCTTTGTAGTTTTTGCAGATGTCACTTGCTGGTAGAGACTGTTTTTCTTCTCTGCTGCTACAGTGTTTAATGTATTCCAAGCTGGCAATGCCAATACAGCAGGCAGTGGTCCAAATACTGTATAACTATCAACAACAACAATAAATTGCTTATCACATCCTCAGTTACTGGATCTTCAAGAAAGGATATTCACAGCTGCAGTTCTAAACAGATATGCTGCTAAGACCGCTGCCTGTTCTAAAGCTGCTGACACTGGCTGTTCTAAAGCTGTGACACTGCTGTTCTAAAGCTGTTGACACCGGCTGTTCTAAAGCTGCTGACACTGCTGTTCTAAAGCTGTCGACACTGGCTGTTCTAAAGCTGTTGACACTGGCTGTTCTGAAGCTGCTGACACTGGCTGTTCTAAAAGCTGTCGACACCGGCTGTTCTAAAGCTTGGAGACTTTCTTTTTTCCTGTAGCATTTTAATTCAAAAGCTCCAGATTTTTTCTTCAGTGACTGAGTCAGAAATGTGCATAGCTCACATCCGTCAGTTGCCAAGGGAAAAAATGCACCATCTCAGCTTCCAAGGGAAAAAATGCACCATCTCACAGTTGCCAAGGTAAAAATGCACCATCTCACAGTTGCTAAGGTAAAAATGCACCATCTCACAGTTGCCGAGGGAAAAATGCACCATCTCACAGTTGCCGAGGGAAAAATGCACCATCTCACAGTTGCCAAGGGAAAAATGCACTATCTCACAGTTACCAAGTGAAAAATGCACCATCTCACAGTTACGAGGGGGAAAATGCACCATCTCACAGTTACCAAGGGAAAAATTCACAATTTCACAGTTACCAAGGGAAAAATGCACCATCTCACAGTTGCCAAGGGAAACAAACGCACTATCTCCCATTTGCCACGGGAAAAAATGCACCATCTCACAGTTGCCAAGGGAAAAAATGCACCATCTCACAGTTGCCAAGGGAAAAAAATGCACCATCTCAAAATTTTTACTTTAACTTGCTTGCAGGTGCTGTGCCATATGGTCTTCATATGTGATTTAGTACGGTGTAATTTAAAAAAATTACGAGTTTTCAGAATTGCAATAACTGAAGTAACAATCAGATGTAGTAATGATGTCTACTTACGGGGACCCCATGCCTGGCCACATTGCAGACTTCAGTGTACGAGATACTGTAGTAAGGTAGCAGTTTTGCAGCTGTGTAATAAATGGGTATTTTCAAGCCTTTATATCCAAATATCATCTCCCTGTAAAGAGATATTGGAACTTATCATTTAGTCATTAAAAATACTCCAAACAACTCAATTAATCATATACTATCTACAGATAATCTTTGAGGTGTTGCCAGTCCGACTCGTAATCCCAGTGTACAATCGAAACCCACTGCTGGCTGCATGCATTTTTATCGTGGCATGGGGCGTCGCAGGTTGACCCAGCCTAAAATGGATGTATGTTCTGGGGAAGTAAAGACGGTTGGCGTAATACTGACCACATTACCCACCTAGAGCCGATTGGTCTGTAAAAATATGGGTGCTCTTCCCATATGCCCAAGGCGCCTAAAGGCGAGAAAAGGGATCTTTACATTTTTTAAAATTTTACTTTACATATAATCTTTGTTTTGAGGGCAAAAAGAGTACACATCTTTTGAATTTTATGAAACAGTTTAAGATGAGCGATCCTGTTTTATGTAAACATAAAGATCACATCGTTGATTTTAGAATTCTGTGGTTAAACATTTAGAGTAACAAAAGACTACTTTTCTGTGTAGGTCTGAGGGCCCCACGAAGACAAAATGGGGGAGGGTCAGACCAACCGCCTCTTCAACTAATCATATCCTAAAACATGACTTAATATTCTTCCTCGTTTATCTCATTTATTAGTTATTAGGTGTGTTTTCTAAGAAGTTGGAGCGCTCTACCTGAGAGGCGAGGAACCAACTGTCTTGGCACATATAAAAAGCCACACCTGTAAAATGGACGTGCAGGCAAAACTAAAGTTATGGACTCTGAACAAGACCAAAATCCAGAAGCGGACAAAGAACCAGAACGCTAAAATAAAAAAAAATTTACAAAATGTATTTAAAAAATTAATAAAAAAACTTACGAATCGCCAAAAACCTGGTGGGCCATGTCCGGTGAGAAATTTTTGCTGTCATCGTCGATATCTTCCTCACAACGAACTGTGTAAATGGAAACACAAGCACCACATTTTACATAGCGTTAAGAGAAATAAAAGAAGGCAGCCATTAGAACCTACTGGAACACTTCCCATCCAGGAGACTTAATCAAGCTCCTCACACCAAACAGACAGACCATTTAATTTTTAATGTGCATAAAATAAACACCCCAAAAACAAAAATTCTAGACCTTACCAACAGTTCAGTTGATATCACGCTGAAAAACAACAGCCTTGAAAAAGTCAACAGTTTCACTTATCTAGGGAGCAAGATGTCATCTACAGGAGATACCGCACCAGAAATACCATTTAGAATAGCACTGGCATCTAGTGCCTTCAATAAACTGCCCAACATCTGGAAATCAAAGACACTTAGCAACACACAAAACTCAAGATCTTCAATTCTTGTGTGATTCCAGTACTAACCTATGGATGCGAGAGCTGGAAATCAACAAAAACTCTAGACACAAAATTAAATTTCAAATGGTCAGATTTCCGAACCAATATACAAATAAGGCAAGAATCCAGGCAAAAGTATGTGTCTAATTTTATACGAAAATGCCGCTGGAACTATGTCGGCCACGCCCTTAGAATGGATAAATCAAGACTTCCTTACCAAGCCCTCATTTGGACACCACAGGGGAAAAGATCTCGTGGAAGACCAAGGGAAACCCTACGTAGAACTATCATCAGGGAAGGCTCACTCATGGGCCACTCGAACATCCAAGACCTACAACAGATTGCAACGAACGGCCATGCATGGAGAGTCATGACCTCTGCCCTATGTGCCGCACTCGAGAGGAAAGATTAACTAACTAATAAAATAAAGATTGTACAGTCCCCACAGTATGCCTGTCAGAAAGGACCACAAACACCTGAGCACATTCTGCAGACCTCACCACTCTACATACAACTTTAAAAAGATACCTGGCTTCAACAGCAAAGTGAGCAGAGCAAACTATAAAAACCATGAAGGACTTGCAGCTGACATGCGAGTTCACAGAGGCAATCAACCCACCTGATCTAAGCATACGAAACCAAACGCAAAGAAGAAGAAGACTAATGCAGGGGTTCTCAACCTTCCTAATGCTGTGACCGTTTGATACAGGTCCTCATGTTGTGGTGACTCCCAACCATAAAATTATTTTAGTTGCTACTTCATAACTTCAGTGAGTATATTTTTTTAATGGTCTTAGGTGACCCCTGTGAAAGAGTCGACCCACTGGTGTAATGGACACAATAGACCCTGCAGCCATATGTAGGAGACATTCAAGATTAGGAATTCAGAACTTTGTTTATGTAAACAGGAACAACATAATACTGAATGTGTGCTACAAACAAGCTCTCTACATGCAGTAGAGAGATCACAGGTTTAGCAGGTTATCACTCCAACTGAAACCAAGTTGTAGGGAACTGTCTAAGACACGCGTCTATTGAAATTTATGAAACAGTTCAAGATAAGCAATCCTGTTTTATGAAAACAAACAGATCACATCGTTAATTTCAGAATATTGTGGTGGATCAAGTTGTATGAAACAATGTAAGACATACGTCATATTAAAAACTTCACAGAGGTCTGTGGCCTTCTCATTTGAAAACCACTGGTAGGGGGAATGAAAAAAGAAGAAAAACAAGACATAACATTGAAACAAATGAGGACACTTAGAATGTTATAACACACGATCGAACTGAGTTGAGCTAAATATTAACATTCCCATAAGAACTCTGACCCCTATCTTCAGCAGCCTGCAGAGTTCTGATTTCGAGGGTCCCAGTAAGAGTTCCACTGTATGTCTGTCTTGCCATTCCTCTGAGAGTAGAGTGTCGGCCAGATTCTCTGCTCACTCCTAGCTGTACTGAAGAGGAGGGGATCCTCCGTGGCAAAGTGGTCAACTTTGTCTCGCGCTCTGAAGATCGTGGGTTTGTTTCATGGCGGTGTCGTTCACAGTTCACAAATGCAATTTTTTTAAGATCCCTGAGGATCATCACCGGAGCTACGAAGGTCATGCTCTGTGTGACGCTCTCGGCAGGCAGCTTGCTGTTCTGCAGAGAGAGAGACTGAGCCATATTGGATAAAATCCGATGCAATGAAGTCAGTCCTCTCACCTTTACCTTTCCTAGCAGTACCACGCTCTAGACTGTAATGATGTATTGGCACTTCTGCATTTATAATGCATGAATTAATGTAAATACTTCTACAGCTCTTGATCCTGTAATGAAGCACATGCTCTCAATCAACTCCCAACAAGTCATCCTATCTTTTGCTTTCATATGTGACTCACCCAATGTCCTCCTTATTGTATGCTCATGGTTCACTGATGTCACATTATGCTGGTGTCACCTGCCTTTGTTAGGGTTTCCCCTAATGAACCAAAAGGCACTCTGAAGTAGTTTTAGTGTTGAGATGTTGGCTCGCAATGGTCTAGGTGGTATCCCGCAGCTCCATGAACATCAAATATACTTCAGGGGGGAGGCAACTCAAATTATGGCCTTATTTGCAAAGAGGTAACAAGATATGGGCAGGTCCATGACTGGGGGGAAGGGGGGGGGTGTGTGTGGGCTGTCATGCGACAACTGGCTGTAAACTCTGGTGGAAAGTTTTATTTGTTTATCCCATTCTGGACTTTGGTCTTGTTCCAGAACTTCAGGTTTGTGCACACAGCCATCCTACAGATCTGGCCTATTTGTAAGCAGACTTTTGGTTCTTACCTCTCCAGCAGATTCACTCCAACTTTGAAGAAAACACCCATAATTAGTCGACGCTGACGAGAGGTTTGTTAGAGGGCAGTAGTGTCAGGGTCTTGTGTGACTACGTGTGCGTGTCCGTATAACTCAGTGACACAGTCTATCTTAGCACTCTTGCACCACCAATTGGTACTGCCTGACCAAGACGGGCCATGCTGCTGACGCCACCAAAAAATGTGCAGCACACCTACCCTAAAGTGGTTGGAATACTTAAGAAAAAAGTGCCAATTTAATGCAAAATTTTGAAAAATTCTTGATTACTGCCGCAACACCCCTGACATACACTAGCAGTTTGAGAATCGCTGCGTTAGCGTATCGTTAGCCGGGATTGGTGACGTCAGCAGCATGACCCGTTTGCTGAAACCGGTCTTTGCCTGACACAGCGGGTCTATTCTTCCCCTACCCCCCCCCCCCCCCCCACACACACTACAGTACCACACCAGGAGGTTAGAAGCAAATCAATGCCAAGACTAAAACAATACAAAATAAAGATGACAATAGCTAGAAATGTAATCAGACATACCGAGTTTAAAGCTGATTGCCTCTGTTGCCAGACATTTGAACTCTTCGAGCTGATTCTTCCTGAGCACATTTAAATCTGAAATAAAATTGTGTCTGCAAGTCATTATTTGCAAATATGTTTATTCTGTTTGTTTTGTTTTTAATTTTTGTGATCCATTCAAAAATGCAAACCATGAAGAATAATAATAAGCAACAATAATTTGTTTAAATTACTGCTTTAATCTGTACTTACTGGCATCATATGGGCTCATACTGTGATAGGGTATACAGAGAAATTGACAGACAACAGAAAGGCAAAAACTACACATAGGAAAGAGATGAATGGGAAATAACTACAAAGCAGTCCAAGAAAAAGTGAACAGCCAATATACAAGCAGACTTATACACTTTTGGATTCACCAACTGAAAAGACAAGGCCAATCAGAAAGATGAATGGAGATCGGTGATATTTGCAGAAATGACCCCTTAGGGCTGGCAGTACTGAAAAAAGTTTTGTCTTTAGGACATTTCATTTAGGCTGGATATATGGATACACAGAAAAATATGTTGTATTTCATGGCCTCAAAAATTTGAGATCGTTATTCGGAGGATAGCCAAATAGGCGATGCCTATCATCCATAATGACTCAACCAATGAAAGTTTACTTAAACATCGAGGCAAATATATAATAATAATACATGAGCAACTGCAACTAAATGAGCAACTACAACACAATGTCATCACAATAGGAGATTGTCAGAATTGGACAGTCGCGATCGTCAATTGTAAACTGTGATACAAGTTGAAAGATAACAAAGAAATGAGACGAATGGCAATTTGAGAGTCAAGAAACCAGCAGTAGCAGTGTTGTTAATTTTTTTTATTTTGCAAATTCAGTCAATTTGAGATGATGATGATTATTCTGGAGAGGCGAGTGATTCATTGAATGTATCTTTATGGTTAGTATTCATCTTTAGTTTATTTCACGCTTTGTCATTGGCACAAACTAGGCAGTTTAAGATTACATATTATAATAATTATATTATTATTATTCTCACAGACTGCCTGAGAATCTGAGATACAATGTATCATACATCGTCACTCTGCAGCGACAAAAATAAAAATAGGAATCACTGACTACAATAAACAAAATGTAAATCGATGCCTACGATTTCCATGGCAGTATTCAGATTAGGTTACGTTACAGAAAACATAATGTAAACGGTGTAGCTGAATACTACAATAAATTATTCAGCAAGTTGTTTCTATATTCAGATTCTGAAAGGAACATGGAGACAAACGCAGCTCACCCCCCGCCATATTGTGTTTAGTTTTGCCGCTAATTCTAGCCGGATATAGCCACACAATGGCAACCAAATGGGCAGTCAACAATCGCTGTCACTGGAACAGTTATCTTTTCATCTACATATAGAGCGAGCGGAAGACCTCGGAAAACATGGAGTGATGGTATTACAGAAATGAACATCAGTCATCAGTCATATATCTTGACAGAGCTTATCAAAGAAATTTACATCTCCCCCTGACTCTTCGCTGAGGTACAAGATGAAAGAGAAAAAGAAGAAGAAAAAGAATAAGAAGAAGAATGTTTGTTTGTTTTAGTATCCAGAAGCCATGAGTTTGAACCCTTAGGCTCGGTATTATGGATATCGAAACCTTTCGGCCTTGATGCCATGATGAATACCGTAAATCTGGGAGACATGTGGCTTTTCTGCCTACCCCCATGAGTGAACCCGGACCACAAGGAGTTCGTCACCCGGTCACTGCGCAATCCGGTTTTGCCAACTACGCTAGAGAGCCTGGCAAGAGGAAGAAGAAAAAGAAGAAGAAGGAAAAAAAAGGAATTTTGAGCTCTTCGTCATGATTTACAGTTTTACTAAGATCTGTCAATAGTTCCTTCATATTTTTTTTTACTTTCAATATCCGCTTGCTTTGTTTGCTGCATCTGTCAAACAGTAAAACGCCTTTGCTTTCCTCCGTTCTGTGCCAACCTACTGTCTCCTTCTCCTTCTTCTTCTTCTACTACTACTACTACTACTACTACTACTACTACTACTACTACTACTACTACTACTACTACTACTACTACTACTACTACTACTACTACTACTACTACTACTACTACTACTACTACTACTACTACTACTACTACTACTACGACTACTACTACTTCCTCCCTTCCACATTGTACTTGAAAGAAGTGTCATGGAGTGATGTAACGTTCGTTGATGAGCTCTGTCAAGAGCACTATTAAGACTGATGTTCATTTCTGTAAGGCTTTTCTTTATGCCATCACTCCATATTTCCGAGGTCTTCCGCTCGCTCTATAGAAATTGTGACGTTTCAGTATGGCTCGCTGTGGTAGATAGTACCAGGGCATTCTTGTTAGTTGTCCAAACCACTTCATTTGTTGTTCTTTAAAGACCTGTAAGACTGGCTTCATTCTTAGCATTCGTCTGATTTTGTGATTTCGTTTTCTGTCTTTCCTTGAGACTCCTGCCGCTCTTCTTACTTATTTAATCTCTTTTGTCACAATTGTATTTTCATTAAAGGATGTAAGTGTCCGCGTTTGGCACTGATAGCATAGTGTTGGCCAAAAAAAATAGTTCTGATAGGATTCACTTTAGTACTTCTGGGTATCTGCTTGTGTGTCAACAGAGGAGATAGTTGCCCGAGTACTTGATTAGCATTAGGACATCTCCAGCTAATTTATCTGTCCAATTTTTAATGGGCTATGAAAATTGCTCCGAAATACTTGAATACCTCTGTTTGTCTTAAGGCGCTTTAAATTTTTTTTTTTTAATTTCGAAATTCTTCCTGAATGTTAAATTGTCGTGGTGTACCAGTCATAGATTACCGAAGCAGCCAGTAAAGCTTGCGTGGGCGATCACGACTTTCCACAATCTCCGTTACGCAGCTGCATGTATCACAGCTCGTGTGTTGACACCCCTCCATGCTATAACAAAAGGCATGCATAGATTACACAGTTTTATTACAATCATTTATAAATTGTGCATTTAAAAAAAGTTAACTAGCTATACTGCTAAAATCTGTTACAATTACTACATAATCCATCCTTATTATCATCATAATTTAGAAGGTCCTTTGCAGAACGTCGCTCGCATCACAGTCTGTCTGAAAGAAACTCGGTCTCACGCCAGCTGTCCCCTTGCGTGCGCCACCATATCCAAGAAGTCACTTATATGTTGTGCCCATCTTCATGTTGGTCGGTTCCTGCCCCTCCTTCCTGGCACCAAGCCTTCTGCTATTAATTTTTCAAAAATATCTATATTTATATATATGTATGTATATATATATATATATATATATATATATATATATATATATATATATATATATATATATATATATATATAATATTACAAAAGAAAAGAACCTCTTTATATCCCAGTGTGACCCGAATGGATTGAACAGGATAAGGTTTTGTGTGTGTAGTTTTTCAACTTCAGGATTGCAGACCGCAGAATGAACATTCCATGGGTGTGCATCAAACAGGCATAAACTCCACGTTGAATTTTGAATTGGGAAAAGACATCACAGCACTCGGGACATCCCCATAAGCGTCCCGTCCCCACCTTCAGCAGCAAGTAAAGAGTTTAAATTCCAATGGTACTAGTATCTCTGTTCGCCTTTCCCCTGAGTGTTGAGCATCGGTCAGATCCCCTTGTAACTCCTCGCAGTGCCATTCTCCTCAGACCGTAATGATCTATCTGTTCCTCTGCACTGTTCACTCGCTCTTCATACATCAGTTCACCACTAAGTGGTGCAGAACCGGCCAGTCTTTCTGCCTGCTCATTTCACACTGGCATGACCCGGAGAAAATATCCAAAGGATGCTAACTACCCAGGACCTCTGAAGTGATGCTTGCCACTCTGCACGGAGCATACCTGTCTCTACCTTTCTCAAAATGTTATGTGAGTCAGTTAAACTCCACGTTTTACTGTATAGCCATTTAGCACTGTTATGTGGGGCAACACAAAACGGTTACGAAGCAGCCTGTGGTCCAATATGGGTGGATGTGTATAGTATGATGGGACAGTATGCGTTGGAGCAGGTTAACCAGTTCAAATACCTTGGAGTTGTATTAGACCAAAATGGAGGCATTAAGACTGAGCTGGCTACACGGAAAGCAGCTGCTGGGAGACTCTTCCAGGCCATAAACCGAGGGTTTCTTAGCAAAAGAGAAATTGGCAAGAGGACGAAAATGGCTGTTTACCGCTCTACCTATGTACCAGTCATGACCTATGGGTGTGAGTCATGGGCAATGACAACAGCTCACAGAAGCCAGCTGCAGGCCTCGGAAATTAGATACCTGAGAAAGGTGGTCCAAGTGACAAGAAGGGACAAAGTCCGCAATCAGACAATACGTCAAGATCTTGATACACAGCCCTTACTAACCCGAGTAGATCAGTCACAGTTACGATGGTTTGGACATGTATGCAGAATGGGAGAAAATCGGCCACCATGGCAGGCATGGGAGGCTAAGAACCAGGGAACCAGACCTCCGGGACGACCCAGGATGCGCTGGGAAGACAACATCCGACAGTCCCTGACTGACAGCGGACTGGAATGGAACAAAGCCAGAAAGAAAACTGCTGATAGAGACGTCTGGCGATCTCTCTGGCAAACCTCTACACCCCAAGGTAGAAGAGGAGCGACTAAGTACTAAGTAAGTAAGTGTATAGTATGTGTAAATTGATAGATAGCTTATTATGTCTGATTTCAATGTGATAATTGGAGCTTGACATTTCTTGAGTTCTATCTGGCGATATCTCATAGAGGGAGGGTACTCTAATTTATGAATTTGCTGATCCAACTTGTTAGTTGTCTCCCTTATTGTGCCTGTGTTCCGTTGGTAGATTTTGACGTAGAGTTAGCAACTGAACAACACCAAATATTTACAGCTTTATAACCACAATAAAGAAATAGTCTTACGACAAGAAACAAGACTTTATTAGTTAATTTTTTTTTTAGAGTCCCCCAGGTGTAAACCTCAGCGAAAAGTTCTAGTTGTTCGTCTACTCTTGGACTTTGGTTTCGGA